CCACTGAGTAGTGCTTCATTAGGGAAGAATCCTCTGTGCTTTGTAGCATTAGCCACAGGTGCAGCAAGGGACAAGTTGAGGCTTGGAGGTGGTGACAGTTGGGTAATAGAATTATCCACCAGCCCAGAAAGTTGCTAGTGGCCCTGAGGCTGCTAAGCCATCCTGGGAGCATTGCCACATGAGCCCCATGCAGTGCCCCGTGACCTGGTGGATCCCATCCAAACCTCTGTGGAGGAGTGCAGGCTTGTCCCGTGATCCCCAGGAACAGGCAGGAGAGTAGGACAGGACTGTAAGTGAGAAGGACCTGCATGTGTAGAAGGCCAAAATTTAAGTATTCAGCAGAGCTCATGGATATGGGGATATTGTTAACTCCATGAAGCATCCAGCGGATGGTGGGGTCTTACTTGTCTTCTTACTTCAAACACAATCAGACTCCAATTTGCAGCCTAAGGGAGGATGCAGGAGAAGAAGGAATGAAGAACTCTCTTGGAAGTGACTTAGGTTTATGGTTTACACCTGGGGCATGTAACTGAGACCCAACATATCCTGTAGTTGGACACGTAAAGTCCATGAAAATTGGGGGATAAGCCTACAAGGAATATTTGACAGTTTATGTTACGAGAATGCGTGAACATACACCAAATATTGTAATGTAATTCATAGTTCTGCCGAGCCTTTTATTAAGAAAGGATGGAGGCTAGAAGGTGGTGAGAAAGCAAGAGACTCAAGATAAAATGTGCCAATTTGCAGTTTCACATGGGATCCTGCTGATGGCAGCCACATCCACGTGCCTTTCACAGTCTTTAATTTGCTGTCTGTTTTCCCATAGCCAGAAGGATCTGTGCCTGATGTACCTTTGAAGGTGAAGAGAAAGCACAGAGTACATCACATGATGTGTGTCTGAACACATCCCTGTAACCTGTGTGTTTAGGCCTCCTACAGAAGTTATCTGTCAGAGTGTACATCTTCCCTTTGGAAACTGAGCTCCCAGAAGGAAGGAACTGGGCCGGATTCTGTATGGAGCCTAATATATGGGCTTTCTCAGAAATCGCAAAGCTCTGTGACAAGTAAATAAGGTCAGTAAACTCAGAGATGGCCCCAAAGACCAGGACTTCTGACCTGTTGGGAGCCGAGAAGCAAGAGTGGGCCAACTAGCTGTTTGATTAATGTGGACAAGTTAATGAAGTAGTTGGAAAATGCACAAAGAGAGAATGCGAAAGAAGGGTGCGAGGGGAGGGAAGATAAGAGGATTAAAGCTGCAAAAACATGGCTCTAATGGATTTCTCAAACACACCAGCCAACAGGCAAGGGCAGGTGTCCTGTCAAACCATTTCCCTAAGAAACCTGATCGGTCTTTCTGCAGCGGAGGCCTGCTAACCTCGTTTGTAATTGAAGGGCCTGTCCCTTATTTCCAGTGAAGCACACTGAGCAGCCTAGGGATTCAGCCAGGAAACGAGTTTTGCAGACAAAGGCGCCTGGGAACAGGCTGGTTTCCTTCATATGTGCCAGCTACAGCTCCTCTCTTCATCTGCCCCTTCTGATTGCTGATTAGATTGTTATTGATCATGAACTCTCCACCCTTCCCTGGCCCCCTTCCTGTCCAAAAACACTAGAAAAAGGGGGGTCCTCTGATTTTCAGATCATTATTCACTTCATTATTCTGCCTTTGATCCCTGAGTGAAACTCAAGTTTTACTTAGGCAGCCAAAAATTGGGAGTGTTTTAAGCTAAGGCTTAAGCTGCGGAGGCACAGAGAGGGGACAGGGCCAACGACCAAACTTCTGCTTATTTGTTTTGAAGCCAGGAAGGCTCGCCTGCCGGTTGCCCCTTGTGGGGAGCTGGATGCCCAGCTGGAGTGCCCTCGGTCCTGCCTGCACAGGCCGTTGTGCACATGTTGGCATCAGAACAGAGGGGCTGTCTGGCTGCATGGCTGACCGGTGCCCAACTTCATGCTCCCCCACTGCACAGCCTTCTGTCTCCAACTGAGCAGCTGTCAGAGGGTTCAGCAGGAGCCAAGAGGGGCTTTTAAAAAGACAGTGTTTTCTACCACTGGGTTGCTGAGGTGGGTGCCTGGATAAGTCCTCAATTACAATGGGCAGGAGCCTGGGGAGATGGCGTCCTGGTGCCACACTCCTTTCAGTTGCTCACATCTTTCTTGCAAAATGATCTGCTAGGTTTAAGTATATTCTTTGCTTGAGGCAAATTCCTTGGAATGAGGTAAGAAAAGGAGGAGGAAAAAAAGAAAATTTCTTGGTGGAGTAGTTTGGGATTTATTCGACCGTGGAGGAGAGTGCTTCACAGCGCCTGAGGAATTTTCCAGATGCCTCTAAGCTCACAAGCACTCACAGCTCACTTTGTGGGAAGCCTCCTGACTTGGCAGGTACAGGGCGCCCTGGCCTGAAGGAAGATTAAGGCCTTTGCATTTTTTAAGTAAACTGCTTTCAGAAAACAAAGTTACCAATATTTAGCCAGAACATGTTGAGCTCAAGCAGTTCCTTTCCCATAGTCCAAACCTTCCTCCTCTCTGAGAGAAAACTCATTAGCTGTCTTGGCTGAGAGGCTTAGCCAGGACTGGCTAAATAATTTGTGGGACCAAATGCTCGGTGAAAATGTAGGGTCCCTTGTTGAAGCATTATTAAGAATTTTAAGATGGTGAAAGCAGAACATTAAATCAAGTGTCATCCCCATCAAGTGCAGGAGCAGGTTGCATAGCCATCAAGCTGGCCTTGGGCTCAGCCTTCCAAACTGTATTTAGCAAGGACTTAGAAAGCATTTGCTATATCCTTAGTACTATGCAATAGAGCTTCGGGTTAGGGGTGAGGAGTAAAAGTTAATAGGCTTCCCACGAGGAATTTATAATTTATTTAGGGTCAGCTATCACACACAAAACATGAAATAATTTTGAAATCATTATTTAAAGCCCAGGAGGCCCTACACTTACCCATAGGAAGGAATCTATGAGAGATCTCACCTTGACAGGCATTGTGCTTGTTCTGCCTGGGAAGTGAAATGGGGCAATAGAAGGGAATCAGCCAATCACTTTTATTTTGAGAGAGAGAGAGAGAGAGAGAGAGAGAGAGAGACAGACAGACAGACAGACAGAGAGAGAGTGTATATACATAGTGTGTGGGTACATAGTAAATGTGTATATCGGGTGCATGAGATGTTTTGACACAGGCATGCAATGTGAACTAAGCACATCATGGTGAACGGAATAGCCATCCTGCCACTGTTTTCACCACACCACTTATTGAATAGTGTATATTTCTTACAGCACATTTATTAGACCTATTTCACCTCTTCCCTCAGACCCCGCATAACCTCTTAAGAAACATTCTATTTGCAAAATAGCTACCATTGGCCACACTTAGACATAATGTTCATAGAACATCGGTTGTGCTGGGCTCTTGTCCGTAAGTTCAAAATGTAGATCAACTTCAACTATGAATTTGAATTTCTAGGCAGCATAATGGGCAACTTGTACCTAACTCATGGAGCTCAGCATTCATTCATTTATTTATTAACATTTATTCATTCAACACTGGCCAAGTGTGTACTTGGGCCAGGACCTGAGTTAGGTTCAGGAGACACAGACAGGAACAAGACTCGGTCTCTGCCCCTAAAGAGTTCACAGTCTAATGTTGTAATCAAAGGGACATCAGTCCTTTAACAGAAACAATAGAGCTTTCCTCTGCTGTGTTGGCTTGAAGTGACTAAGAGCTGCTGGAACATTCCATTAAGTGGGAAACCTCCTGACCTCGCTGAGTACCTTAATCACCAGGCCCTCCTAGGGTGACTCCGGTTTGTTTTCGGTAATTATCTCTTGTCTTCTGTGAGAAACCTGACTCCAGCCCTCTCTGGTTTCCCAGTGGAAACAACAGCATAGGCAGGTGCAGTCCTGCAGTCAGCCCCAACAGGAGGGGCTGAGCAGAATTTGGTGTGGCCAGCATTTGGAACAGGTGCCTCCAGGGCTTTCTGAGAACCTTTAGGAGGAGAGTGTCTGGGTAAAATATTTCCATCTGTCTTATACTCCATTAGTTTTGTTTCTCCTCTGAAATTCAGCTATAATCCTGAAAAACATTTCCATCTTAGAATGCATGCATTTTTGTTGTGCAAGTGGCCCCTCTTTATTCAGCAGCATCAGTGATTTGGCTCATACAAAGAGATTTGTTGTTTGGACTCTTGGATTGTTTGGCAAACATTTTGCTCTTATTCTAGATGGCTATCTGTGCTCTCCCAGTTTAGATCCCACGGTGCCAAGCCAGGAGAGATGGCCATGGGGCTGCCAGAGACCAGCCTCGTGTGAGGACCCTGGCTCCTCCCCAATCTACTGCCATTAAGCCATGGTCCTGGCAGATCCCTCTTTGCCTTAGAAAACCCTTAGAGCATCCAGAGTCCTGCCCCCAGCCCCATGGAAGGATCGTCCATGACATGGGGTGTGGCTCCCAAGCAGCAAGAATCAGCCTTCTGGTTACAACCATGGTCAGCAATCACGTGGAATCTCAGAGCTGTCACTTGTCATCATGGATGCCTAAGAAGAACCTGGGAAGGCTGTTCTTAATCAAATTGGAGAAAAGACATCAAGTATTCTCTTTCATTGTTCCCATCCATCTCCATTAGCCAAATCTTTTGACAGCCCTGCTAGGACATTTGTACCTTGACTGATGCACTTCTGGGGTGAATCAGCAGAGCCAACTTGTCCCCACATCTCAGGGTAACAGAAGAGGCTGGTCTGAGCCAGAGACACCACTTGATGGGATTCTCTCTGCACCTTCCCCCAGCTTGTATATACAAAGTGAACCCCATCAGTGATGAGGGCCCCACATTCTTATAAACTCTGGTAGACAACAAGGGGCTGGAGGAAGAACTCAGAGGACGCCCTGAGAATCCCCCTAGGTACGAGCTTTGTCATGACTGACAACACCAAGGCCCAAGCCCACCCTGAAATGTCACGCTTTTGCTCTGTTCTCCTCTAACCAGCACCTTCCCTTCTCTTCACAGATCTCCAGGACTTCAAGTTAGATGTGCAGCACGTGATTGAAGTGGATGAGGGAAACACAGCAGTCATTGCCTGCCACCTGCCTGAGAGCCACCCCAAAGCCCAGGTCCGGTACAGCGTCAAACAAGAGTGGCTGGAGGCCTCCAGAGGTGAGTGGGCAGGAGCCCAGAGGCCAAGGCTGAGGCCAGAAGGGGAGCTGGCCGCCTCTGACCACTCGCTGCTCAACAAGGCTAGGGCAGTCGACTCTTCAACGTGCCAGCAGCCCTGTCCTCATGCTGGCCAGCTGTCTCCTCCCTTTTTTTTTTTTTTCTTCTTTTAAGAGATAGGGTCTTGTTCTGTTACCCAAGCTGTAGTGTAGTGGCACAATCAGAGCTCACTGCAGTCTCCGTCATCAGGGCTCAAGAGATCTCCTTCCTCAGCCTCCTGAGTAGCTAGGACTACAGGCACATGTTACCATGCTTGGCTAACTTTATTTTTTATTTGTTACAGAGACAGAGTCTTGCTCTGTTGCCCAGGCTGGTCTAGAACTCCTGAGCTCAAGCAATCCTCCCGCCTTGGCTGGAATTAGGCTTGAACCACCATGCTTGGCCATGTCTTCTCTCTTGGTATTAATCCTGTAGGGTCCCAAAGCAGGGGGCTTCCATTATGGAAGTCCTCTGTCTTAGCATGAGGAATTTCTTTATCCTTGCAGGCTCCAGATGTTCCTGAGATGCTGCTGTTCCATCCAGGTTCTCAGCACATGGCTCTGGATGCTGCCTTTGGAAGCTCTGTGCCTTCAGGCACACACAGGAAGGCTGCCTGATAAGAGGCATTCATGGAGCCCCATGGTTCCCTAGCAGGAGGTGGAGCTCTTCCCCATGCAGCAGAGAGCAGTCTTTGTAGTGGACTTCATTTTTCCCTCTCCCTATTTGCCTGGCCAACAGAGTGAGACCTTGTCTCAAAAAAAAAAAAAAAAAATATATATATATATATATATATATATATACACACACACACACACACACACACACACATATATATACATATATATTTAAAGGTATATATATTATATTTAATATATATTATATTAAATATATATTTTTAAAGACATATATATATATACACACACACCTTTAAAAATCATCTATTGATTTTAAGATTTTTTTTTAACTCTTTCTGGTTATGCAAGGAATATATGTTCACTATAGAAAACTTAGGAAATATAGAAAACTGTTTTCAAAAGGGTGAAACCCCTAATCCAGCCACTCTGAACTAACTGGAGAGCAGGGAAGAAGAGCATTAATCTGTACTGTCCCCAGCAGAAGGTTGGCAGCAGCCTCTGGGAGAGGCCTGCCTGCCCCATCAGGCCACGGGTTTCTCCCCCTCCATCTGGCCCTTGCTAAGCACCTTATATCTGGGTGGCCCAGCAGCAGGCAGGCACCAGGCTTGGCAACAGCACAGCTCCCAGGAGGGGCCACTAGAGCAAAGCTCAGCACTGACGGCCATAGCTTTGCCTGCCAGGAAGCCAAATGCCACCCTAGTTGCTGGGGTGTCCAGGAGCTGTGAATCTACCTCCTGGCTACAGAACCTGAACACCTCTGGGGGCCCATGGCATGGCACCCCTGGACCAGGAGCAGACAGAGCCTAACAGGCCCCTGATGCAGAAGAAAGGATTTCAGTGGCATTGATGGGGAGGGCGGGGTCGGGAGTCAGAATATTCCTCTCCAAGTGGCAGAGATGCAATAATGAGGTGACTCTGAGTGATGGCTGTGACTGATGGGAAGATTTGCCAGTCATTTGGGAAGGGAAAATGATGGGAAGTTCCAAAGTCAATTTCCTCCTTCCTGGAGGCTTGCAGAAATGATGATCTCATCTCCCATGTGTGCAGCCTGGGCCTCTCAATCCTTACAATGGCCCTGAGGCCGCCTTTTTACAAATGAGGAAACTGGATCAGAGAGGTTAAATAACTTGCCCGAGATCACACAGTTAATACCTGGCAGATCCAGAGCATGAGACCATGGCTGATTCTAAATCGTGCTTTCTTTCCAGCCTCACCAGCTCCCCTGAAAGTATAAAATGCTCTTCCATAGACCTATGCACTAACTTGGGGCAGTTAGTCAACCAGCCTGTTAGCTGGTTGGTTAGTTACTTCTTCTTTCTGGCATTCTGTTCTGCTTGGTGCAAGGTTTTATGGGAAGAAGGCATCTTAGGCTTGGGCTTGTGAGGACCCAGGTGGACATCAGCTCCTAGCGCCTGCCCAGCCTGCCCCCATTCTTCCACGCACCTCTCCTTTGTGGAAGCTGCAGAGTGCGGCATTCTGAACCCAAACTCATCCCATCTTCCCCTGGCCCTGCCCTTTCCACAGATAACTACCTGATCATGCCCTCGGGGAACCTCCAGATTGTGAATGCCAGCCAGGAGGATGAGGGCATGTACAAGTGTGCGGCCTACAACCCAGTGACCCAGGAAGTGAAAACCTCCGGCTCCAGCGACAGGCTGCGTGTGCGCCGTAAGGCCCGGGCCCACCTGCTGGGGGGCAGAGGGTGTCACTGATGGGCTCGCAAAGATGGGAATGGAGGTAGATACCTGGAGGTGCCACATCCCAGCTGCGGTTCTGTGTGCACTGGCTTTGGCCAGGGAGAACCCCTGGGACTCAACCAGGTGTTCTCTCCCCTCTGGCCAGCTTTGGGGCCAGCCTCTCACAGCACATAGCCCTTGGGCTGGCTCTGGCAAGTGACTGTGCCTGCTGCCACACCTGCCTGTTAGGAGGTTTCCTTCACTGTTACTTTGCAGTTGGGATGGGTCAGAATGTGTGTGCTGGGGCAGGATGGTAAGCCTTGTCTCAAGCTCAGCAGTGGACACAGCCTAGAACAGATGCCCACGTGGGAGGCCTTCAGGCCGCCTTTCTGCCCTACGTGAGGTTTCTGGCCCTGCACTGTCTGCACTGATGAGATGTGCCCAGCACTGCCCTCTGGTGAGCGTCCAGGAGGCCCACGTGCTCTCAAATGCACAGGAAAACAGCAGCTACCTTTCCATGTACTTGTCTGGAGTCCCTGCCTATTCAGAGGAGTGACATCTTACACGGAGTTAGAGTTGACACAGAGGTGGAATCACTGTGAGGCTAAAGGAGCTAAATCCCATAGTTCTTCACTCACCAACAGAGGCCTCTCCAGGGCCTAATTTTCTATCATTTTCTATTCTTTTTGGGGACTCCGATATTGTATAAATTTCAGGTGTTAGAAAATCTGGGTCTGCCCCTGGTTAGCATATAAGGCAGAATTGGTCCCTGTGCTCCTCCAAGGTCGCTGAGGAACAGCACACACTAGAGAGTAAATGTGCCTTTCAATGAGTTCTGTGCAGTTTGTTCCCAGTGTTGAGAAAAGATCACAGCTTCCCCAGCTGTGCACCTGGATTAGTACATAGGTGATTTGCATTTGGGGACCTTGCAATATGAGAAATGCATGTGTTTAAACAGTGGATTCCATTCAGCTCAGTGGGAGGCTAGCTCTGAGATGCTCACTGTGAGAGACACTTGGGCCTCAGAACCGTAGGGTGGGGCTGGAGGCATGGCAGATTCTTGTTTTCCATCTCATCTTCAGCCCCACAGTGCACTTACTGAGTGCAAGCAGGAAGAAACATCTGTGCCATTTAAATAGCCTCTCCTCCCCCTCACCTTTCTCTCCTTGCCAACACTCATAGTTAACTGTGCATATGTTGTGTTGATGCTGCTGTTCTTCTGTGTTCTCTCATTTCTTACTCATAACAGCTCTCTGCAGAAGAAGCCCTTCTTTCTGATAAGGACACCAAGTCCCAGGGGAGTTCTGTAGCATGCCCCACTCTACATAGGTCGAAACACCTGGAATGACTGTTTGATCCCATCTCCACGCTCTCTGGGACTGCCTCCTGGGGATGCTGTACAGGACATCCTGGTCCACATGCCTCTGTCCTTGCCCTCCTTGCCCCTCCAGGCTCCACTGCTGAGGCTGCCCGCATCATCTACCCACCGGAGGCCCAAACCATCATTGTCACCAAAGGCCAGAGTCTCATTCTTGAGTGTGTAGCCAGTGGAATCCCACCCCCACGAGTCACCTGGGCCAAGGATGGGTCCAGTGTCACTGGCTACAACAAGACACGCTTCCTGCTGAGCAACCTCCTCATCGACACCACCAGCGAGGAGGACTCGGGCACCTACCGCTGCATGGCGGACAATGGGGTGGGGCAGCCTGGGGCAGCGGTCATCCTCTATAATGTCCAGGTGTTCGGTGAGTGTCTGCTGTGGACTCTCTTCTCCTTGGCCTTCTTTCTCTCTGGTCTGGGCAGCCTTTCTAGAAACGTAACCCAAGCTCACAGAGGGTTAGCATCTTGTGAAAGGCCACATACTGAGGGAGTAACAGAGGCACGCTGAGGAGTCACGGCTCCTCGGATCCCAGAGCCGGGACACGCAGTCCTGAGGCCCTCCTGTTGTGACTCATGGTGGAGGCTTCGGACCTCTCCTTGCCTCTATTCTGCCCGTTAGGAAAAAGCAACAGCCAAACGGCAGGGGAGCCGCTCCTAACTGCGTCCCTCCCAGCCCATCTGGCCCTGGGACAGACAGACTCGGCCCTTCTCACCCTGCTCTGGTTTCCTGGCAGAACCCCCTGAGGTCACCATGGAGCTGTCCCAGCTGGTCATCCCCTGGGGCCAGAGTGCCAAGCTCACCTGCGAGGTGCGCGGGAACCCCCCGCCCTCTGTGCTGTGGCTGAGAAATGCCGCGCCCGTGATCTCCAGCCAGCGCCTCCGGCTCTCCCGCAGGGCCCTGCGCGTGCTCAGCATGGGGCCGGAGGATGAAGGCGTCTACCAGTGCATGGCCGAGAACGAAGTCGGGAGCGCCCACGCTGTGGTCCAGCTGCGGACTTCCAGGCCAAGTGAGTGTAGCCCAGGGGTCTGAGATTCCAGCTGAAGACTCACTGAATCCTTTTCTCAAATGAAATCTAATTTGGAACCCCAGTATATAAGATAGAGAAAAGTAGCTTATAGTTGTAAACTCAAATTCATATAAACTTAATAAATCAGAAGTGCAGATTTTCACTAATGAAAACCCATTTAATTGTTGTATCAAAAAATAAATTTCCATGGAACCCAGTTTGACAACCACCGCTCTAGAGCTTTGGTAAAGAAACGGCAGTCTGTCCTTCTCAGCAAGCTTCATTCCAGTTAGGGCCTGTGCCAGCTGGGCAGTGACCGTGCTCAGCCTTGGGAGAGGTAATATGGGGGACGCAGAGCAACGCGGCAAAGACCCCGCCCTCAAGAACTCATCTATGGAGACGAAACTTAGGAGGGAGACAACCTGAGAAAAATGCAGCAATGAATACAGCACAGTGCTAAGTCGGCATTATGGGGTGCCCATGTCCTGTGGTGGGGAAGGTCAGGTACAGGAGAGAAGGTGCTGGCAGATCCTGTGCAAACCTCCTGAAGGAAGCACCGCCCCTCCTGGCCTTGCAGACTCTCGGGAGATTCCGAGTTGGGTTCATGTCTCAAGTTCCCAGTAGGAAAAGGCCCACATGGTGCCGCAGTGTTAAGATCCCACCATGAAGGCACAGCCCCATCCCCAGCCTAGGTCAAGAAGGAAGGCGCAGGGTTCCTGGGCCTCAGGAGCAAATTGAGTTAGTTCACTGGAGATGCACTTCACATGGACTCGAGAACAGCAGGCCACAGAGATGTTTGCTTGCCATGCCCAAGCCACCCTTGAGCCCCTGGCAAGGCAGGCCAGGCAGGCCAGGCTGCCTTCTCCTTCCGGCAGGACAGGGACACAGGCGCTGTCTTCCACAGAGCCAGGCTGGGCAGCACAGCGGGTGGTGGTCGGGCTGATGGTGGGCCCCAGTTGCCTCTCTGACTTCTTTCTGTTTTCTCCCCAGGAACAACAGCTCAGCAGGTAAACCAGGGGACTCACGTTTCCTTCTCCTTCCTGTCGGTCCTCCAGGCACAACCCCAAGGCTATGGCAGGATGCTGAGCCGGCCACTGGCACGCCTCCTGCACCACCCTCCAATCCCGGCAGCCCTGAGCAGATGCTGAGAGGGCAACCGGCGCTCCCCAGACCCTCGACGGCAGTACAGCCTGCTTCCCCGCAGTGTCCAGGAGAGAAGGGGCAGGGGGCTCCCGCCGAGGCCCCCATCATCCTCAGCTCGCCCCGCACCTCCAAGACCGACTCATATGAACTGGTGTGGCGGCCTCGGCATGAGGGCGGTGGCCGGGCACCGATCCTCTACTATGTGGTGAAACACCGCAAGGTATGGCCCTGGTGTGGCACCGCTACCTCCCCTGCATAGCCCTCCCTGCAAGGCTGAGCAGAGTCACTGCCTCCTGGCCATCTCCCCTTGAGCTCCTGAAGCCTGAACCAGTAAGCCCCACCTCTAATCAGGCCCTTCTGTCTCCTCCCATGTCCATCCGTGCCACCTCCCAGGAGGCTGGTTGTGAGATGGGCCTGTGGGACCCTAGAAGGCCCAGGAAAAAGCCTTGTGCCTGCATCCAGTACTAAGCTCTCTGCACTCATTTCTCAGAAGCTCGCACAAGCTTCTAGTCCCTGAGGAGACGGTGAACAGTCTCCCTGGTAACCATGACCCTCCCCCTGCTTCCCTCTGCCGTTTGTTGTTATTACATTTCACTTTTTCACGAAAGTTAAGCTGTGCTGGGTACATACCTGCAGGAACCCTGGCATGGTAAGCCAGCTGTAATGCCAGGAAAACAAATATTTGTGAACAAGTGTTTTCTTTGTAGGCTCCAAAATACCCTCTCTGTTCTCAGAATCCGTCAGGGCTGGGGCTTGACAAGCGGGCATTTGAGCTCAAAGCACATCGTGTTGTTCAGACCTCAGCTATTTCTCCTTGACAGAAGTAGTCTGTACAGGCGAATGTTTCAGGAGCTGTCAGGAAGGGAATCTCCGGCTCTGATAGGATGTGGGGGCAGAGCCTAGTCCGGCCAATGCTCCTGGACACTGTGCTGTGAGGCAGGGCAGGGTCCCTAGGCCACCACTGTCACTCAAGGCTGTGCTCTTACCCTGCAGGGATAAGGACATGAAATTCCCCGCAACAAAATGTCCTTGAAAATGTTTCTGTTCACTCCAGGTTTACGCCATTTTCATTCTAAGGCCATTTGATAGTAGAAAACTATTATTCTTAAATGGATTTTTAAAAATTGTATTTGATAAATATAGCATATACATGCTGAATTTTATTATGCATTGGTATTACTTTTGCTTATAAAAAAGCTATGTGCACCTGATGGAAAATATATGAATGTAGAATTAAAAGTATTTATCCACTCCTTCCCACCTCCAAAAACAAGCAGGCAAGAAAACACAACCCACCCTGCACAGTGGAGTGTGCTACTCCCTACCTTGCAGCCCTGGCCCCTGACTGCTATTCTGTTCTTTTCCCTTACATCCTCTCCTAGAAGATCTTGGGTCACCACAAGCCAACAGAGACCCTGGGGTTGTCAGAAAGACACCTAAGGCAGAGCACACCCACACCCCCTCTGCTGCCTCCCTAGAGGCAGGGGGGTGGCGGGGAGCAGTCTCATTAGTCCTCCACCTGCTGGCCTCTTCATAGGCAGCCAGCAGAGCGGCTGAATGAGTTTTTAACAAAAAGCAGCATTGTTCATATGTTACAGGACAGGGCTGCTCCTAATCCTATTTCCCCATGTAACTGGACACCTCAATCTCAGAGTTGTAGACAAAGATCAGGGCAGGCCAAACGCCCATGGTTCCCAGGAGACAAAACCCAGTGTGAGAGCAAGAATAATATTTTTCAGGCCAATAGGTGGCCATGAAGCAGCCTCGCACAAGAGGCTGACTGGCAAAGGCCGTGCCGTGGTGATCCGGAAATGCCAGGCTCAGGCTGCATTCACCCTCTCAGTGTGTGTGACAGTGACTAATTACCCTTCTATTTCTTATTTTCATTTCTGGGCCCAGTGGAAGTGTGAGGCCAGCGCTGGGAGGGCAGGGGTGCCTGGGGCGCAGGGGAAGTGAGAGTCCAGACAGGCCCCTGCTGTGTCTGGCTTCTCTCAGGCTCCAGCCTGGGGGCTCTTCAGCCTGGGGTTGCCAAGGCAGAAGTTCTGGCTTGAAAGCAGTTTCTTTCTTACAGAACTAACAAGTCTTACAGATCACCCAGAAAAGAATTTGAAATCAAAAGTTAGCATTTGGACTGTTTTTTTCATCCCCCTTCTTTTGCTGGGGATTGGGAACCATTCAGCTAATTTTCACTATTTCACATGCGCGAAGCAAGTTTCATTTCCTGGTGCATCTGCAGACCCTGGGCTACTGTGTTTGGGTTTCCAGCACCACTGGGGAGTCTCAGTTTGTAAAAACTTCTTCTCCCCTTGGAACAAATCCTGGAAGCCTGACAATGAGCCCAGACCATTCCTGTGCCTTGAATGGTAGGTTTTGTTTGACTTTGGAATATTCTGCTCAGGGAAAAGAGCTTTTCATTCCAGCTGTTTTCTTCCTTCAGCAAACCACAACTTCAGGTTCCAGCAGGCTCTCTGGGACGTACAGAGTTGGCAGTAAAGTCCTTTGTCCCGAAAGCTGGTGGGGCGGGGCGCGGGGGCTGAAATGAACAGCCTCTGAGCTTCACCTGTTGGTGAGCCTGGAGCTCCCTTGCTTTTTCCTTTAAAGAGCTAGGAATTTGGTTGGGCACGGTAGCTCAAGCCTGTAATCCCAGCACTTTGGGAGGCTGAGGCGGGTAGATCACGAGGTCAAGAGATCGAGACCATCCTGGTCAACATGGTGAAACCCCGTCTCTACTAAAAATACAAAAACATTAGCTGGGCGTGGTGGCACGTGCCTGTAATCCCAGCTACTCGGGAGGCTGAGGCAGGAGAATTACCTGAACCCAGGAGGCGGAGGTTGCGGTGAGCCAAGATCACGCCATTGCACTCCAGCCTGGGTAACAAGAGTGAAACTCCGTCTCAAAAAAAAAAAAAAAAAAAAAAAAAGCTAGGAATTTGCAGCTATTAATTTGTGACCATCATAGTCACAATTCATCCACAGTTTGTAAGTTCTGAGCAAAGACTGGAGGCAGGAGCAGAAACAAAGAGGAAGTGGGGAGGGGCCAGGCGTTTGCTGGGAACCTACTGTACACCAAGCTCACTGCAGGACACTTTACATGAGTTCTCTCATTTAATCTTCAGAATAACCTGGGAGATTTTATTTGCCTCGTTGGTGAAGTGCAAAGCTTACAGGTCAGAGAGTTAGGAGACTTGCTCTGAGTTATGCAACCGGCATTTGAACCCAGGACTTTGGATCCCAGACTCTTCTTCCAGGGATAGGGTGCAGAGCTCTTTGGAGTCAAGTCACAGTTTCTGTGCTCACTAGCCATGTGGCCTAGAGCAAACTGCTCATTTCTCTAAACTTTAGCCTCATTATTTGTGAAGTGGGAACAATATTAACACCAATCACTTGGGCTATCTCGAGGAAAAGGAAGTAGCGCCTGTAAACTGCTTAGTTCCCGCCTAGCACCAGGTAAGCGCTAGCAACAAATGTTGCTGTTTCAGTGGCTGCTGATACTTTCACTATCTTTCTCATCATTGTGTCTCATTAGAATATAAACAGAGGGAACTGCATTTAGTTTACATACAGAAGGAGAAAGAAAGCAAAACATGGAGATTCTTTGAAATACAGGGAGAGAAGGTCTTTGGAGGCGTTCTCAGCAATATCAGTCAGGCTGTCTGACTTCTTTACTGAGGTTTCTTTGATGAGATCATTAGACGAGGGATCAGGGAAACTGACTGTCCCAGCGAGGTTGGTGTCCTATAGCCAGGGATGTGGGACAGTCTTGAGTCTGTGCCACCCCCAATTCCAACCTGGCCCATTGTCCTTCCCCTCCTCCTGCCCTCTTGGGCTCAGTGCTGCTTTCCTTGCAAACCACAACCCACTGGTTGCTCGAGGCTGAGATGCCAGTCCTTATACCAGCTACCTTCTCCAGCAGGTCACAAACTCCTCTGATGATTGGACCATCTCTGGCATTCCAGCCAACCAGCACCACCTGACCCTCAGCAAACTTGACCCCGGGAGCTTGTATGAAGTGGAGATGGCAGCTTACAACTGTGCAGGCAAGGGCCAGACAGCCATGGTCACCTTCCGAACTGGTGAGAGTCAAACACTGCCCTTTGCTTGGGGTTTCCATGGGTCTAAGCAGGTTCTACCAGCCCAGCTGTTCACCTCGAACTTTATCTGTCCTTCCAGCTACCGCCCCCTTGTGGCTTGTGTGTCACACTGAGGTCCCCGCTCTCATTAGGACAGTTGCCAGCCGGCCTCTCCGGTGCCCCTTCGTTCCTCTCGCACAGGGGCCAGCAGCAGTACCACAGCACAGCCAGGCTCGCCAAGGCTCAGCCCACACCTTCAGGGACCAGGATGCTTATTGGCATCACTTCGTCATGCCCCTCAGCAGAGTCTCAGGCAAAAAGGACTCTGGGAGGGAGATCTAATGCCTGCTTCTTCCCTTGCTGACTGCAACCCATTTCCACCCAGGACGGCGGCCCAAACCTGAGATCGTGGCCAGCAAGGAGCAGCAGATCCAGAGAGACGACCCTGGAGCCAGCCCCCAGAGCAGCAGCCAGTCGGATCATGGCCGCCTCTCCCGTAAGCCCCGAGCAGCAGGGACTGGGACGTGCAGTCAGGACTGGAACTGCCTCAGAGGGCCTGTTCCCAAGGCCGAATGGGGTCTTGCTTCTGTAGGTCCAGGATTTTTATGACATTTTCTTGGCATCTCCCAGTTAACCACAATGAGGAAACGTAGTCTGTAGCTTTTCAAATAAAAGTCTGGCGTTGATGCTGGGATTGCTGACCGGGTGCATCCAGAGAGCAGCAGTGGCCCTTCGGCCCTCAGACTCTGGCTTTTGCAGAAGGAAGGCACGAGGGGTCTTAGCTCAAAGGCTTCCCCCAGCAGAGGACGGCCCAGGCAGCCGTGGGGAGGTGTGATGCGAACACCGGTGGCTGGAGAGCTGTGGGGAGGAGCAGGCCAGGCGCAGTGCGCAGCCAGCCTCATGCCACCCGGCTTCCTTCCTCACCGAGTACGGTCTTCCCCAGCCCCGGAAGCTCCCGACAGGCCCACCATCTCCATGGCCTCTGAGACCTCCGTGTATGTGACCTGGATCCCCCGTGGCAATGGTGGGTTCCCAATCCAGTCCTTCCGTGTGGAGTACAAGAAGCTCAAGAAAGTGGGAGACTGGATTCTGGCCACCAGCGCGATCGCCCCCTCGCGGCTCTCCGTGGAGATCACAGGCCTAGAGAAAGGTGGGGGCCTGGCCATGCAGCGGCCTGATCCCCTGGCTGCCCCGACTGCCCGGAGGAGGATGGCGAGCCTGGGAGCCCCTTCCCTGGGCCCAGGCCCTCACCCTCCAGCATGCTCGGGTGCCGCTGCCTGTGGTGTTCACCACGGTCCTACACGCCCTCCGCCTCCCTCTCTCCGGAGGGGCATCCAGAGCCTTCTCCCTCGAAGCTCCGCTCCCACAAGGGCGGGCGTTCTTGTGAGGCCTTTTGAGAACTTGCTTTGGGGAAGGGCTGCCCACAAGACCCCTCCAGGTCCGGGGCCTTGAAAGGCGGTGGGAGACTCAGGCGGTGTCTCCCAGCCCCTGAGTTCAGTGCGTGTCCCTCTCACCAGGCACCTCCTACAAGTTCCGAGTCCGGGCTCTGAACATGCTGGGGGAGAGCGAGCCTAGCGCCCCCTCTCGGCCCTACGTGGTGTCGGGCTACAGCGGCCGCGTGTACGAGAGGCCGGTGGCGGGTCCTTACATCACCTTCACGGACGCCGTCAATGAGACCACCATCATGCTCAAGTGGATGGTAAGCGGGCCTGGCCTCGTTCTGAGCGGAAGATGGCCTACCCCAAACACCCTTGCCTGTGAACCTGGGGATCAGACTCCCCTGAACAGGGCACCCGAAAGCCTTATCAGTGGAATTTGGGAGGCTCTTAGTGGCTGGAGCTGCTCTATAGTCTCCTGTTGATTCTGGTGCCTTGACCTGGTAGACCTCACCCTCCTTCCTGCCCTTCCCCTGACACCACAGGGGATCCCAATAGAATCGTTCAGGTCCCCTTCTCAGCCATAGGGGCCCCTCACATGTCCGGGGGGGGGGGGTCAGAAGCAATTGAAGTCTTTGGAGAAATGGCAATTTGTTTCTTCTCTTCAAAAGCTTAGGGACCTCTAGGCTAAATAAAATAATGAGTAATTTCACAGCATTTTTTGGAGAACCTCAGGGACATGGCATTCGAAGGCTTTGTCAGGGGCCCCGGTGAAATCCAGACTCCGGCTGGGGGAACTTTCATACACCAGTGGTTTTGCTTTGATGTTTCCTCTGCCCATTGTCAACGTGTTTCTTCTCCATTCCTTCTAGTACATCCCAGCAAGTAACAACAACACCCCGATCCATGGCTTTTATATCTATTACCGACCCACAGACAGTGACAACGATAGTGACTACAAGAAGGATATGGTGGAAGGTGAGAAACACTTCTGTGTTTAAGTTTCTGTGTGATAGTGTCCTCCGCTGGCATGGGGGACAAGGTATTGGTGAAATCTGGTGAAGCATAAACCTGTGTCTGAGCTCCATGTCACTAGCTCATTCATAATACCCTTGAAACTGTCTATTTCATGAACCCACATGATGATGGGACAGTAGGAACATGGGTGGACACCAAGAACATCTCCTCCAGTGTTGCTCCACACATCATCCCTGTGCCAGTCAGTGGCATCCTCCCCCGCACACTGCCCCAGCTGAGTCTGACTGTGAGATTGGGATCAAGAAAATGATAAACACATTGCCGTGCATGATTCTCTGACTCTGTTTCCCAGGGGACAGGTACTGGCACTCTATCAGCCACCTGCAGCCAGAGACCTCCTATGACATTAAGATGCAATGCTTCAATGAAGGAGGGGAGAGCGAGTTCAGCAACGTGATGATCTGTGAGACCAAAGGTATGCCCTTTGGGTTTTCTCTCCTGTCTTGGTGTTTCCAGTGAAGGAAGGCAAAGTCACCACTCCCTGTGCCATGCTGGTCTCTTTCCCAGGAAGACTCTTTGTTTTCCAAGGACCCTCAGACTTTTTGCTCTGATTTGTCTGTGCCTAATACCAAACAGGCCATCGTGACACTTTTAGCGAACTTAGTAATTAACTCACCCATGAACTCATGGGATAGATTTTTCTTAAGTTGGGAACTTCCTACAAATCCTTTATTCCTGCAGTGATATTTGGTACTTACATTGGTTGGTTTATTTTATTTATTTATTTATTTTTTTGAGACGGAGTTTCGCTCTTGTTACCCAGGCTGGAGTGCAATGGAGCGATCTTGGCTCACTGCAACCTCCGTCTCCTGGGCTCAGGCAATTCTCCTGCCTCAGCCTCCTAAGTAGCTGGGATTACAGGCATGCACCACCACGCCCAGCTAGTTTTTTTGTATTTTTAGTAGAGACGGGGTTTCACCATGTTGACCAGGATGGTCTTGATCTTTCGACCTCGTGATCCACCCGCCTCGGCCTCCCAAAGTGCTGGGATTACAGGCTTGAGCCACCGCGCCCGGCCTGGTTGGTTTATTTAACTGAACTACAATCACATGAGATGGGAAAGGAAGTATCAGGAAGCTGTATACTTTCCACCAAGGCCATGCAGCCAGTTAGGGGTAAAGCACGCTTTGGGCCAGGATTGTCTAACTACAAGCCCAGCCCCTTTCTATTACACTTAAAACATGTTAAACATAGTCACATAATAACTTGATAATATTTGCACATTGGTCAGATGGGGAGACAGCATTGTATCTCCATTTTGCAGATACTGAAAGTGAGATAAAGCAGTTGTATTGCAAAGAACATAATCGGGAGAAGATCACAAAGGAATAGGAATAGCGACAGAACGATACATTTTCCTGTCATCAAGGCAACAGCATTCTCTCTCCTGCTTCACTGACTTTGTCGCTCAGCATTTCCTGCCTCTGTGTCTCTCCCTGCCCTCTTCCATCATGTACATGGGAGGGAGGGCAGATCCATGCACAGCCCAGAATCCGGAATCACCTGGTGCAGGGAGTGCCCAGAGAGAGGAAGAGGCTTCCTAAAGCCTTCACACCGATCTTCTGGAAGGACTGAATTTAGGCCAGGGATGAGGAGGGAATGGCCTGGGGACAGGCCAAGCCTGGACGTAGCTCCAGCACTGGGAAGGAAGTTATGGGAATAAATGCCCAGGGAGGAGGCCTCTGAGGATGCTGTGAGATAAGCTGGTGCAGTCAGGAAGAGCAGGAGCCACCTAAGGCTGTGAGGTAGGGGAGGGTCGCCAGTGGATTTGTCTGTTGAGATGGGTCACTGGTGACTGTGCAGGGAATGGGCTGAAGGTTGAGAACCGGGGTGTCAAGTAAAGGTGAAGATAAGGGATGTGTGGGTGGAGGTGTGGGCGGGATCAGGGACTGCTTGCATGCCAGGGCTGGGAGAGAGTGAAAGGAGTTAAGAAAAACTTTAAGGTTTCCAGCTGGAAGTACAGCACAGGTGATGTTGCCACTTACTGAAATGGCAACAGCAAGAAGAGAAACAGATTTCATGGGAAAGGAACAAGGTAAAACCACTTGGAGGCTTACTGAGTCTTGGATTCTTTGGAGACATTGAAATGAAGTGTCTGATAAGCAGGACTCCTGCCCCAGGCAGGGGGTCCAGATGGGGAGATTGGTTTGGGGGTCTTTAGGATCCAGGTGGAAGTCACAGGACTAGGTGAGAATACACGGAGTACAGACAGGGAGGAACCAGGAAGCCTCCCAGTGTCTGCGGAAGCAGATGGCACAGAGAGAGAAGGAGAGGTGTACAGAGCAGCAGAGAGGTGGGGGACGTCAGGGGACAGAGTCCAAAAGCCAGGGGAGACGACAGCCACTAAGGCCAGCAGGGTCAGATACACCTTGTAAAAGCAGAGCTGCAGTGAGGAGCTGATGGCCTTGACTCCACTTCTGAATTGGCATCTCACGTGTACTGTGTGTCCTTGTGAGGCCCGGAACGCCTGTCTTCCTGCTGTGATCCATGCTAATACCGAGTACTTCATGTCTCAATCCACCAGGAAGAACAACTTTGTGGGTAAATTCTTCCATCCCCAGTTCTTTTTCTGGCTTCCTGCATTTTGACTATTTTCTTCCATAAGTTCACTATTTGTTCTTCCCAGAAGCACTACACCACTTCCGCCAGAAGGACCCAGTCCATAGCTCACAGATATCTCAGGCTCTGCTTTGAAATGTTAGGGTCAGGTCTTTGCCACAACCCCAGATTTCGCATTAGATGCTAATTTCATGCTGAGTATGGACACCATGCAAATAAGGGATTTTGAGGCTGTATCTTTTGAGTTTGACCCTATTTCCCACACCCATGGAATGGGGGTATTTTATTTTTCTATTTGTTGTGAAGGAAATGTCGAAGAAATAGATACTGACTCGAGTTTTGTCCACAATTACAGCTCGGAAGTCTTCTGGCCAGCCTGGTCGACTGCCACCTCCAACTCTGCCCCCCCCACAGCCACCCCCTCCTGAAACCATAGAGCGACCTGTGGGCACTGGGGCCATGGTGGCTCGCTCCAGCGACCTGCCCTATCTGATTGTTGGGGTTGTCCTGGGCTCCATCGTTCTCATCATCGTCACCTTCATCCCCTTCTGCTTGTGGAGGGCCTGGTCCAAGCAAAGTGAGTGACGCTTTCAGTGGGGGGAGGCTGGGTGGGAAAGGGGGCCTCCCAGCCCACCACGGTGGACTCTGCCCAGGTCTGCGTCCACGGAGAGCTCAAGCCCAAAACCCCGAAGGTCTCTGAGGTCAGAGAACACCCCATGACTGGGCCCTCCCTGCAGCTCACAGACCTCAGCTCAGGGAGGAGGAAGGAGTGAAAGTTGGGCTGTCTTCTCTGCACCTCTGGAGCTCGGGACCTATATGGCTCCATCTTGGGTGTCTGAAGCTGCTCCCCTGACCTCACGTTCATACTTACAGTCCATCCCGCCTCTTCGCTGGGCACTGAACTGCCTTCAGCTGGAATCTGACTTACAGTCACTGATTTCTGCTTCATATGGCAACACATCTGGCCAACTTGCCTCCTCTAAATATTGCTCATTCTTTTCACTCACCACCTCCTGTCCCCAAGCCATGGACCCTGTATCTCCCCACTTTTCTTCCTGCAGAAGAGTCCAGGTGTCAGGCAGAAATGGGCAACATCAAGAAGACTCTAAGGGAAAACGTTCTGCATCTGTTGGGCACTGTCAACTCCCTGCCTACGTCCTTCCCCCTGTGTGGCCAGGAGTCTCCTGAGATCGTTGTGGGGCTTTTCCAAACCGTCGCAGGCTACCTCGGCCTAAGCACACCTTTGTCTTTCTCCTCTTCCAGAACATACAACAGACCTGGGTTTTCCTCGAAGTGCCCTTCCACCCTCTGCCTGCCCATATACTATGGTGCCATTGGGAGGACTCCCAGGCCACCAGGCCAGCGGAGAGCCCTACCTCAGTGGCATCAGTGGACGGGCCTGTGCCAACGGGATCCACATGAACAGGGCCTGCCCCATGGCTGCAGTGGGCCACCTGGGCATGAAGCCACAGCAGCACTGCCCAGGCGAGCTGCAGCAGGTAGCACACTCTTGGGTGTGGGTGGCAGGTAGGGGACACTGAGGAAGGAGTGGCTGGGCTGCCGAGGGGGCCTCCTCCCTCCTAGGGTCTCAGCCTGGGCTGTTGGGCCAGGCTTTCCTTAGTCAGGAAGAAATGTTCCTGTTGATCTGTGAACACTGGAAAGTTACTTGGACTCCCCGGCGTGGCCGTCTCATTATTCTTCCTTTTGAGCAGCAGAATGACACAGGCAGCCTGCTGAGGCAGAACCTTCTTGGCAATGGATACGACCCCCAAAATCACCAGATCACCAGGTAACCAGGCCTCTCCCCTTTCCCTCCCAAGCCCCACAGCTTCATTTTCCCTTTAGCTCCTCAAATCCAAGGTCAGTCACTGAGAGCCAAGCAGCAGCGCTGCACTCAGGGGTCCCCGCGGCTGACAACCATGCTCCTCTGAGCCGTCGCCCTAATGGGCAGTTGCGATGCCCTTGCTGCCTGGGGGCATGGGTTGGTACCTCAGAATCCTCCCTCACTAGGCAGCTCAGAAGCACCCACCACAACTGACTTTGCCCATAGGCCTCTGGACACCTGACTCCACATCCTCCCACCTAGAATACAATGGAAATGTAGTAGAATGATCAGTGGAAATGATGGCGTGGCACCTCTTGATATCCAAAGGGGAGAGCAGCCCTTGCCCCATCTGAGCTCTCACCAGCTCTGATGCCCTCAGACAGGGAGACAGCCGGCAGGAGGATGGGGTGACAGGCCCACCCTGCCCCGCCTCCCCATCTGGGCTTGTGCACTGCAGGGGTCCAGAGTCTAGCCCGGATGAGGGCTTTTTCTTATACACGCTGCCTGACGACTCCACTCACCAGCTGCTGCAGCCCCACCACGACTGCTGCCAACGCCAGGAGCCACCTGCTGCTGTGGGCCAGTCAGGGGTGAGGAGAGCCCCCGAGAATCCTGGCCTGGAAGCAGCGTGGGACCCTCCATTTCACTCAGGTCGGTGCCAGGAGCAGGGCAGGGAAATTGAACAGGCTGGGGTGATATGAGGTAGGCATCCACAAGCCAGTAGTAACAGTCTTAAAGGTAGGGCTTGGTAAGGAGCCAGCTGCAGCCTTTATATGGGAGGGATGGGGCATCGAGGGTGGCTGGCCACTTTCCTTCACTGCTGAAGGCCCAGCAGGTCTGTGGGATGTCCAGGTGGGTCCACTCCAACATTATAAGCTGCTGTCCTCAGCCTCTGAGAAAAAGGTGGCTTTTCCATTTTGGAGAAGAAAGCCCTTTCTGGTTTCTGCATTTCAAGGTCATACACAAATTCCATTTGCCCCTCATCACACAACAGCCATTCTCTAATCATTCTGAAATGCCTTTCTTTGTTGAGGCTTGTCTCTTAATTAAGGAATAAGGTTGCCTCAATCATTAAGGAGCCAAGTTCTTAGAAACATCATCATCATAACTCTGCTTCCACAGAACTTTTTCTCCACGGGGTTTGAGGCCATTCATGCTAAGCCCATCCCATTGTCTCCCTGCTAGTCTCCTTGGACATCAGTGGATACTTGGTGATACAGGCTAGTTCAGAGGAACAGCTAATTAATGTTTCTTAGCCTCTCTGTGTGCATGTCCATTCATAGGCAGATCCTGGACTCTGTCTCTAGGAGACTTAAATTTAAAAGATGCTGAGTCCTAAAGCTCAACCCAACATCATTTAAACTGGCCCATGGCAATCCGGGGGGACTGGATGGTGAGTGGGATGACTGTAACCAGAAGCTATAGCAAAGAGTGGACTAGCAGCCCAAACATAGAAAGAGCAGAGCTTCCGTCTATATTTCACGGGCTTCACTGACTTCATCTGCTCCGGTGGTGCAAGTGTCTCTGTGGTCCTAGTATGAGTGGGAAATGGGTGGCAAGTAGCCCTCCTTGTTTCAGTGAGAGGGCTTGGAGGGAAAATAATGCCCTCAGAGGCTTCTGTCCCTTTTTCGGAGCCAGTGTAACCACCTTCCACCACAGATAAGAGACTGGCCCAATGCCCCTGGGTGCTGGTTCCTCAGTCAGTCTGGATTTTCATGTTCCGTGCTCTTTCTCCCCTTAGGGCCCCCATGCTGCTTGGGCCTTGTACCAGTTGAAGAGGTGGACAGTCCTGACTCCTGCCAAGTGGGTGGAGGAGACTGGTGTCCCCAGCACCCCACGGGGGCCTGCGTCGGACAGGAACCTGGGATGCGGCTCTCGCCGGGACCACCGGTGCACGTGTCTTTCGAAACACCACCTCCCACAATTTAGGCAGAAGCTGATATCCCAGAAAGACTATATATTGTTTTTTCTTTCTTAAAAAAAACAGAGAAAATTGGTATTTATTTTTCTATTATAGCCATATTTATATATTTATGCACTTGTAAATAAATGTGTATGTTTTATAATTCTGGAGCGACATAAGGAATCCTATCCGTTGAGGTTGGAGAGGGAAAATAAAGAAGCTGTCACCTAAGAGAAATCACCCAGAAAAGCACCGCACAGGCTGGCGTGGGCCCGACTCCTCACCTGGGGCCTCTGCAGTGGCAGAGGAGGCTGCGGGAGGCCCACAGATAAGCTGACGAGAGGAAGGATCCCAGGCACGTGGTTCATCAGGACCACAAGGGAAAAGCAAGGGTCACGGTATCACAGCCCGGAGACACCCACACAGCTGGCTGGATCCGGTGCTACTGGAAACATTTTCCTAAGATGGCTATAAGAACAGACCAAGATGTGTACAGCACTATGAGCATTAAAAATCCTTCCAGAATCAATAACCCGTGGCAGCATATCTCTGTAAAAACAAACCCTGTAACTTCTAAATAAATGTTTAGTCTTCCCTGTAACCTTCGACTGAGTCATGTCTGAGTCAGCATTTTCTTTAGATGTTAGAATTCAGTCTCTGGATATTTGAAGAAAATACCCACTTGCAATATTTTCAGGTCCATCAGACATGAGATCTGGAAAAGGTAGCAAATGTGTGTGTTTTTTTAAAGAGTGAATGTCAGTTGTGCTTGGATGAATGCAGAACACATGACTGTTTAGTCCAGAAGGAAGCTGTTGTCCAACAGACCAGGAAAAACAGATTCACAGTTCTCTTACCAACTGGACTTGAGATGAAGTTCAGGTCATATGGAAGAAATAAAACTTATCTTTTTAATATAGGTATATGTTGAAGACCAAATATTTTCTCCAAAATACTATTTGGCTAAGTGCTGTGCCACACATGAACATATGGTGCGTGATAAATTCACTTCCCTTCTTTCCAAAGAGACACCAACACTGCCAGAATAGTTGACTCACTAGTTTAAAATCAACATTTACTTACTGTCATCCAACCAGAGGATCAAGCATAGATTCTTCTGCAACTGAAATTTTAAAATCTCTACATGTGGAAGTGGAACTAGATGGTGACCGACACAATGAAAACCTTACTACACTTGTGAGTTTTGGGGCTGGGGAGTGTGGGGGTGGGGTATATTTTCTAGATTTCAGTAAAATTGACTTAAATGAAATGCCACTTGAGACAATCTCGTTAAGTTGCGGGGTGGGAGGGGAGGAGGCGAGGTACGGGGTGCGGGCGCAGACCCTGGCTTCTAAACAAAGAATTCTACAAATGGGGTCCCAGGGAAGCCTGGGGCATTGAGTCACTCTGACTGTTTAGTGCAAGTGCATCCTCTGCTGGCCAAAGTAAGTATAGCACCTGCCATTCCTCAGACTTTTGCATCCTTTTTCCCTCAAATAGCTAGAAGTCAGAACTTCTTATGGAAATGCAGCATGGTTTTCAGGAAAGCAGTATTTAAAAAATATTTTTTAAAAAGGACTGCAAGCAACATATAAATAAAAGGAAATGAGAAGCAGAGACGAGAAAAAATAAGATACTACGATTTCAGACACTCCCACAGCTCACTTCCGGAGTGGGCAGGGCTGACATGCTCTCAACCATTGCTTTGCTATCCAGGGGCTGCCCTGCCCAATCTGAGCTGTAATTCACCTTCTAGCCCCACTGGCTTTTACATTTTTTCCTTTTTTTCTCCTTGATGATCTAAGGTAGTTGTCAAAATTAATTTTGGTGACTTTACTGACGTGATATATGAAACATCTGCTTTCTGCGTAGCACTGGAATCATAACACTGAATGGTTTTAGTTCTAAGGAAAAACTTAGCACATGGCTCACAGAGATCCCTAAGGGTGGGAGCCTGCTGTGGTGGGACAGGCTGACTGGCAGGCATGAGCAACTCCTTTACTGCAAAGTTGTGACAGAGGTTTTTTTCTTCCAATGCTGAGATTGATTATCGGTGATACTATGGATGGGAGTTTAGAATAACCAAGTTATATGGACAACTGATTCACAAGTAACTCAGTGTAGGCAGATTGTTGGCCTCACCCTCAGAGGTGAGGCCACTCCTCTGGGAGCACGGCAGGAGGCTGGCAAGTGTGCCCCAGGAGCAGGACAGCCTCCCAGCAGCCACCCCTTACCTGCCCCGCCCATGCCACACCCTGCTGGTATACTTGTGTTTGAAGCTTAACTTCCCAAAGACTCAGATGCTCTAACTTTACAGATTTAAAGCCAGAGGTATCACATTACCTGATTTCAAACTATACTACAAGACTACAGTAATCAAAACAGCATAGTACTGGTATGAAAAGAGAGATATAGACCAATGGAACAGAAGAGAGGCCCTGGAGGCAATGCCACACATCTACAGCTAGCTGATCTTCAACAAACTGGACAAAAGCAATAGGGAAAGGATTCCCTGTTTAACAAATGGTGTTGGGGAAACTGGCTAGCGTGTGCAGAAAGCAGAAACTGGACCCCTTCCTGACACCTTACACTAAAATAATCCACCTGTAGATAAAAGACTTAAACGTAAGACCTAACACCATAAAAACCCTAGAAGAAAACCTAGGCAAAACCATCCAGGACATAGGCATAGGCAAGGACTTCATGACTAAAACACCAAAAGCACTGGCAATAAAAGCCAAAATAGACAAATGGGACCTAATTAAACTCCAGAGCTTCTGCACAGCAAAAGAAGTAATCATTAGAGTGAACCCACAACCAAGAGAATGGGAAAAAAAATTTTGCAATCTACCCATCTGACAAAGGGCTAATATCCAGAATCTACAAAGAACTAAAACAGATTTACAAGGAAAAAACAAACCCATCCAAAAGTGGGCAAAGGATGGAACAGACACTTTCCAAAAGAAGACATATATGAGGCCAACGAACATATGAAAAAATGCTCATCATCACTGGTCATTAGAGAAATGCAAATCAACCACACTGAGATACCATCTCAAGCAAGTTAGAATGGCGATCATTAAAAAATCAAGACAACAGATGCTGGAGAGGATGTGGAGAAACAGGAACACTTTTACACTGTTGTTGGTGGGGGTGTGAATTAGTTCAACCATTGTGGAAGACAGTGTGGTGCTTCCTCAAGAACCTAGAAATAGAAATTCCATTTGACCCAAGCAATCCCATTACTGGGTATATATCCAAAGAATTACAAATCATTCTATTATAAAGACATATGTATATATATATATGTTCATAGTGGCACTGTTTACAATAGCAAAGACCTGGAACCAACCCAAATGCCCATCAACGATAGACTGGACAAGGAAAATGTGGCATATATACACCATGGAATACTATGCAGCCATAAGTTTGTGTCTTTGTAGGGACATGGATCAATCTGGAAACCATCATTCTCAGTAAACTGACACAAAAACAGAAAATCAAACACTGCATGTTCTCACGGGCAGGTGATGAACAATGAGAACACATGGACACAGGGAGGAGAGCATCACACACTGGGGTCTGTTGTGGGGGGCCAAGGGAGGGACGGCGGAAGGGGGATGGGGAGGTTGAGGAGGGATAACATGGGGAGAAATGCCAGATGTAGGTGACGGGGAGATGGAGGCAGCAAACCACATTGCCATGTGTGTACCTGTGCAACAATCCTGCATGATCTGCACATGTACCCCAGAACCTCAAGTGCAATTAAAAAAAAGACTAAGCCTGGAATCAAATTGAAATGAACCTAAAGCTATCAACATATTTTGTCCAATTCAAAATAAAGTAATTGAGTGTTAACTGTCTTGTCAATTCCCAAACATGCAAAGGAAGCCCTGAATATTATAGAATTAACTAGTGACTTAGTCTAGCTTAGTTTGGGAATATATAATTATCTCGATTAGTTTTACTCTCCGTTGAAATAAATACACATTGAATCCTGACGTGCCTCTCGTGTAGACTCACGATTCATTCTTGCTGCAATCAGAATCATAGAATTTCAGAATGGAAGGAACCTCGGAGCTTCTACCAATCCTTCATTTATCAGATAATGAAATAAGGCCCAGGAAGATAATGTAACTTCTCCTGATTCTCTACAACTACCAAGGGGATGGTATCCCCTCAAGACCTTTCTCGGAGACCAGCCACTCTCTCCAAGCAGCTGCTACTTGTGGCCACCAGCCCCCACAAGGGCCCCCGTAACCCCAACCTGGTATTCACACCCTGTTCAGTCCCCTACCACATTACACAGGGTCAGCCTGTGACCCATGTGACAATTGTGACAGTATGTCACTTCTGAGCTTAGGCTGTAAAACGTAAAAGACTGTGTCTCTTGTGTGCGTCGTTCTCTCTTGCTGCCCCCTCACTCTTGGATCACTTGCTCTGGGAGAAGTCATGTCCTGAGCATGAAGAGGTCCACATGGCGAGGAACGGAGGCCCTGCCAAACGGCCAAGGGAGTGAATTGGTTAGTAGCCCCTCCAGCTCCAGCCAAGCTTCAGAGGGCAGCAGCCCCAGCTCCCAGTGTGACTGCAACTCCATGAGACCCTAAGCCAGAACACCCGGCCAAGCTGTCCCGTTTCCTGGACCTCAGAAACCCTCTTACCCCTGGGTGAGAGGATAAGTTTGTAAGTGTGGGGGTAATTTTTTACCACAATAAATAAGAAACTCGGAGCTATGACTAGCATACTTTAAAAAATACTTGAAAGGCACACATGGTTTAGGATATACAACACAGAAAGTGATTTTTTTAAAAAGTGGGTGCTGTCCAGTAGAGAAGTGACTGCATCAGAAATTAATGGTGACAAATGCAAACAATGAAGTATTCTGACCTCTTAAATAGGAATATGAAAGAATCTTAGGAAGACAATAGGACACCTCTAAGAACATTCTGATGTACAAAGAAAGCAAGTCCTGTTTCTAATTTTGGGGGGAGATTAACAGGCTAATCACAGATGAGGAAGACTTGGCATTGCTGAGCTCCCTGGTACATTTATTCAAAGTTGCCTTCTTCACCCGCCCTTCTCAGTGACCAACTTACCCTGGGATAGCCTCAACTGAGTAACTCATTAATACAGAGCTCTTAATCTAACGAGCTATGCTGTTACTAACAGGACCCCAAATGTCAGTGAGATTATCCTTCAACGGTTACAGCCATAAGCCTCAATGAGAACCTACTCCCCAACCAAAAGGATACTCTTACATTAGCTTAAAATGTTATGAGTAATCAAAAGTGATTGTTAAAGATGATCTCTAAATCTAAATCTATTTCATTATCTCCTCCTCTGTATCAAACCCAGCAAATGACCCAAGTAAAAGCTGAAAGAAAATGGCAGAGGACATGAGAAACTTTAGGGAAAACTTAGAATTCTGATGGAGTTGCAGAAAGCTTTAGAGAAAAGCCTCCTTGTTGACCGTTTTATAAAGTTTGCTCCTCTGCTCCACTCAGATCCGAGGAGCCTACAAAAATTGTGGGCAAGCCAAGAAGGCTGGTTATTTTCCTGCTTTCTGCCAACCCAAAGCAAACTGCTGTGCCATGTCTGTCTGTATTTCCTGAATCCTGAACCCTCAAATAACTGCTTTATGAAGTCTACCATGCCAAAACTGAAATTTGCATTTCTATTCTAAGATATCATTGGCAAAATGTCTTTTTCTTCTGCATTCTCTCAGAGTACACTTAAAAACATCTAAGTTTATTTTCTAAGGATCAAGAAAACAAAGTTTTCTCATTAATTGCTGAATGATAGTTTTTCTTGCCAATGGCTAAAAATTCAGCATACCCCCAAATCGAATTTTCCTAAAACAAAATACATGACAGATGTTTTGCTGCAATGATGAGACACAGCTTTCTGAGGCTTCCTATTCAATCTAGAAGGTTCCAAACATCTGAAATGATTCCATTCTACAACAGAGGTTGGGTGCTGCAGTTGGTTCTAAGATAATCAAATTGTAGAGAGATTCTTAAAGCTACATGACTGGATCTGGTTTTAGACTTTCAGACAAAATACTTTAAAATCACTTTAAAATGATAAGATTGTTGCAGGTGACAAGGAGACAGAACTCTGAGTGAGTTATGTGAGAAATCTTGCATGGGTTTGCGAAAACAGCAAACTCAGAGGTCCATGGGCTACATCTCATTCTCGTGTGGAGACTGAATGGGTGGGAGGATAAGGCCGCCTTTCCTACGCAAAAGAGCAATCTCTTCCTTTAAGGCTGAAATCCTTTCCGCCTGGAGTTGGATCAGTTCAGTGACCTCCTCTCTTGCCACAGTATCTGCTTCTCGAGGGCCCTGGAAGGCATTGCCCTGTTGAAAGAAAACACCTCCCTGAAGAAGCATCATTTGGCATGTGAAAAACTCCATGTCCTTATACCGTGTATCTGTGATGAGTGCTGGCCTGACAGTCACCTTAAACAGCCACTGCTTTTTACTCTTAGGAGCTTTAGGTTCCTCCGCTAAAATCTCACCATTAGAAATGTGTGCCTTTGGACTAATGAACAACTCTTCAAGTGAAAATCCTCTTTGGGTGCGTGCACTTTAAGCTAGCTCAGTCACTCATTAGAGAGTTCATCTCTGGAATAATAAAAGACTGTGTCTTTTCCGATTTCTTTCCCCATCCAGCTGACTCCTACTTGGGTTTCACACATCATTTTCAGGGAGGCCTTCTTTGCCCCATGGACTAGGTTAGGATTTTCTGCTTTCCGTTTTATTGAAACATCCATTATACATATACACCACTATAATTTATAGAATGAACCATATAATATTTATGATATTTGACAATTTTTAAATCTAAAAGAATGGCAATTTAATATGGTATGACCGAAGTGCTTGTTTGATATCTATCTTCCTTGGTAGATCCTGTCTTTTAGAGACAAAGCCTCACCACTCTGTCCAATACCTGCCCTAGTGCTTTCTGCATAAGTAGATGCTCAGTAACATTTGAATGCATGAATACATCTGTGAGAGGAAAGACATAATACTGGCATGGTGCCCACTCTGTGGAAGGTGCTTTGCAGATGCGGTCTCACCTAATCCCCAAAACAGTTGTATCATTCCAGTTTTACAGATAAGGCCACTGAGACTCAGAGAGTCATTAACGAGCCAAGTCAAGCAGGAAGCAGGGTTAGAAACAGGTTGCCTGATGCTAAAGTCCACACTTTTTCTGTTACTCCTATGTACTGCAGCAGACCTTCAGAGTAAGTAAGGGTTACCCAATATCCTCTGCCTCTTCTCCCTTGCTCATCTTTTTATTTATTAAGTTCTGGGATACATGTGCCGATCTTGCAAGATTGTTACATAGGTATACACATGCCATGGTGGTTTGCTGCATCTACCTCCCCTGTCACCCACATTAGGTATTTTTCCTAATGTTACACCTCCCCAACCTCCCTACCACCTGCTATCCCTCCCCTGGCTCCCCACCTCCAACAGACCCCAGTGTGATGTTTCCCCTCCCTGTGTCCATGTGTTCTCATTGTTCAACACCCACTTATGAGTGAGAACATGTGGTGTTTGGTTTTCTGTTCTTGTGTCAGTTTACTGAGAATGATGGTTTCCAGATTCACCCATGTCCCTGCAAAGGACATAAACTCATCCTTTTCTATGGTGCATAGTATTCCATAGTGTATATGTGCCACATTTTCTTTATCCAGTCTATCGTTGATGGGCATTTGGGTTGCTTCCAAGTCTTTGCTATTGTAAACAGTGCTGCAATGAACATACGTGTGCATGTGTCTTTATCGTAGAACGATTTATAATCCCTTGGGTGTATACCTAGTAATGGGATTGCTGGGTCATAATGATATGTCTATTTCTAGATCCTTAAGGAATCGCCACACTGTCCTCCACAATAGTTGAACTAATTTATACACTCACTTTTATTTTAGAGGCCATGAAAGCTAAACACTAACCTTACACATTTTCTCTTCCAGCTAGAGGGAGCTATGTGGCTATAATCTGAAACTTTTGCTTCTTAATAAAAGGGACTGAAGAGGCTGGTGCATGGATGTGAAACATAGGAGCTGAAGCAGCTGTCGTCCGACTTTGAAGGAAACTTTGGGAAAATCACAGAGTTACCAGCTCTGGCACCATGGGCCTACAAAACCAAAGCCTGTACAGTCATCTCCCTCTAGACTTCTTGCCAAGTGAGAAAAACGACTCCTATTTAAGCTCCTCTCAATAGGGTGTTCCAGTTACTTGCAGCTAAAAGCATGCCTGATTCACCAACGCATGCCCAGTCATTCCAGTTGGTTACTTTGAAGTCTCCTAACTTTCCCCTCCTTCTTCTCACCAGATTCAATCAAATTTTGGCTATTCTTACTTTAAAATGTCTTTTGACATTTGACACATTTTTGTTGTCATCAACTATATCCCAATGCATGCCTACATCATTGTTAAGAAGCAACGGTCAATTCTAAGAAGCAATGGAGTCAGCATTGGAGGCAGACTAGACCTGAATTTCAAAACTAACTTCACCATGCATTAGCTCTGAGAGCTTCAGCAAGTTACTGAACTCCTCTGAGCTTTAGAAAGTAGTGTTTTGAGGATGAAATGAGATATCCTATGTGAAGAGACCATGCATGTGAAGATATTCTGTGTAAAGAGACAGATACTAGTAATTTCCTCTCCCATTCAACTGACCTCCTGCCTCTAAGCTTTTCCCTCTTCAACGTGTCTGGACTGATCAAAGCACATCAAGTCAACAAATGTTGACTGACTGCTCAGTCTGTGAAGATTTGGGTTAGGCATTAACCTTGTCAAACACTGCCTTGATCGTTCACTTAAAAGTTACTCGTAGGCTGGGCGTGGTGGCTCAAGCCTGTAATTCCAGCACTTTGGGAGGCCGAGGCGGGTGGATCACAAGGTCAAGAGATCGAGACCATCCTGGTCAACATGGTGAAACCCCGTCTCCACTAAAAATACAAAAAATTAGCTGGGCATGGCGGCGCGTGCCTGTAATCCCAGCTACTCAGGAGGCTGAGGCAGGAGAATTGCCTGAACCCAGGAGGCGGAGGTTGCGGTGAGCCGAGATCGCGCCATTGCACTCCAGCCTGGGTAACAAGAGCGAAACTCCATCTCAAAAAAAAAAAAAAAGTTACTCGTAGAAAAAGGCCCCTGAATATTCAAATTCTAGTCTTCCTTTCACATCTAATCTTCAATTATAAGCCTTCTAAATCCTTCTAATTCATATTTCATGGAATAAACAGCATTACTTCTTACTTTAAAACTTTTGCTTGGACCAGTGATTCTTAAACTCTACCATGCTTCAGAATCCCCGGGAAGGCTGGTTAATGCAGACTGCTGGGCTCTCCCCAAGGGCTTCTGAAGCAGTACAACTGGGGTGGCACCCTAGGCCCTGCGTTTCAAACAAGTTCCCTGGTGAGGCTGATGCGCTTCTTCAGGGGACCAAACTGTGAGAACACCTAGCTTAGACCATTTCCAGGGTGCTGAAAGAAAACATAAAGCAAAGAAGACCAAGGGCAACAGCTGGTCTTTTTGCAGGTAATATTGTAAGTATGTAACATAGAGTTTAGAATATGCCATACATGTGTTAAGTCCCTAGAGGGCAAGACTTGGATTGGGTAAATATTTATTATCTACCACATACAATGTATTAAGTGCAATGTTAGGCTGACTAAATATTAGATAATAGCAAGTTGAAACCCACACAAAGTAACAAGCATTTAAATAAGATAACAGGGTAGACTTCACCATTCAAGATGCCCACTTCAAGTCAAATGAAATAAACAGATATTGGAAATAAATGTTTGACGCCAAACTCAGGGAGTATAATGGTGTCATTATTTATACCTAAGTAACCTTACCTCTCCAGGACCAAGGCAATTCTATTGATTAATACTTATATGAGTTCATGGCACCCAAGAGGCATTCAATAAAGCTAGTCCCTCAGGCCCACTGTAACGTGACTAACACCAACTCTGAGTCCTTAGGGATGCAGATGGCCCGGAAGTGGTCCAAGATCAAGCAAGTTTGTTTAAATGCTTAACATTCTTGTGAATAAGCTACCTTTAACAGAGCTTCCTCAATTCTGAAAAAGGGTCTGAAGAAAAAGAACGTACCTGCTGATTCTGTAGCGTATTCAACCGAGAATCAAGTTTCTTCTTTTCAATACACAAATCATTCATCTGATAAAGCTTTCTGGTGTGTTCTTTTGTCTTCATCATCAGCTCCCATCGCATTTGAGCAATTTTTTGCTACCAGGGGATGCAAAACAGATGTAGTAAGTAAGAAAGGAAATGAAGAAAAATGAGTGTCCAGATTTGGTCAGAATCAGGCAAATGGAGCAACGTGCACACATGAAAATACAATCAGAAGCCAATGTGAAAATAACAAACAACTGCATTGGGCCTGGTTTGATTAAAGATAAGAATATAAGTATGCTTGAGAATAGGAGTAGGTATAAATAAGATAGAGATGGGCATCACTGTATTCTTGAAGAATGAAATTAGTATGCATACTGATTGCTGGTACTCATTACTTAAAAGGAAGGAATGATAATTTAAGCAGCTAACTTTTCTACATTGCTCTTTCTGGTCTTGGCCTGGGATCCTTAAGGTAGATGGCTTGAATGGCCATACATCTGTATAATGGCTTTCTTTTGTTTTCTTGTTGCTCCGTCAGTTGCTCACTTGCAATCTCGAGCTTTTGGGCTCAAGTGATCCTCCGCCTAAGCCTCCCAAGTACCTGGGACTACTGGTGCGCAACACCATACCCAGCTAATATTTTATTTTATTTTTTATAGAGACAGGGTCTCACTATATTGCCCAGGCTTCCAGAAAATTATTTTAGATTGCATATGTTATCTGCAGCATTCCCTTAATAGGGACCAGTCCCACTGACATGAACACTATTTGCTTCTTTAAACTACACTGGTACATCTTAGATTAGAAAAGTTGAGATGGGACCACTGCACAACACAGCACTAGGAAGCACTCCTCCTACCCCATCTGCTAAAGAAATAAGACAGGAAACTGGAGGCATCATCATGATTTGTGGACTTATAAGATCTTTGTCAAAGCTCCTACCTCTGAATCAGGCTGGAACCAGGGCACGGCTCATCTCATGGCTCAGGGAACAATATGTAAGCATTAACATCCTCTAAGATTCTGTCACCCAAATAGTCTATGCCGTGTTACAAAATTTATTACTTAGAGGTGTTTCATAATTTCCAAATTGGTACAGCATACAAAAGCCATCGGTAATACAACTCGAGCCTGAGAGGATAGCTGCTCCTTTTCTAAAGCTGTCAGAGCGTTTCTAATTTTTTCAAAAATTTAGCTTCAGGCATACATGTCCAAGTTTGTTACTTGGATATATTGTATAATAGTGAGGTTTGGGTTTCTAGTGGACCCATCACCCAAATAGCGAACCCTCTACCGAATAGGTAATTTTTCAACCCTCTCCACTGCCACCCTCCCTGCTTGGGGAGTCCCCAGTGTTTATTATTTTCGTCTTTGTGTCCACATGTACCCATTGTTTAGCTCCCACTTATAAGTGAGAACATGCAGTATTTGATTTTCTGTTTCTGGGTTATTTCATTTAGGGTAATGGCCTCCAGCTCTATCTGTTTCTGCAAAGGACATGATTTCATTCTTTTTATAGCTGCATAGTAATTCATGGTATTCCATATACATATACATACACACAGCACATTTTCTTGATCTGACTGGTGTGAGATGATATCTCATTATCTCATTGTGGTTTTAATTTTCATTTCTCTGGTTAGTGCTATTGGGCATTTTTTAAGATATTTTTTGTCCGCAGAGCATTTATACATTAACGTAGGCCTCACAAAATGAGATCTCTCCATAATCTTTCATCTATTTCACATCATATTTATAGGCACCCTGGGCCCCAAAACCCAGTGCTGGTGCCCTCACTCCAAGATAAACAAGTCCCTCTAACTAAGTGAACAGGAAGGAAGCCGAGGCAGGCCTAAGATCCTGGGGCAGCCAAAGGGTGTCCATGGACCAGCTCCAGATGCTTCACAGGTACCTCTTCCAGCTCCCTGGAATTTCTTGCCTCCAGCCAGATGCAACCAAAGATCACCTGCCCTTCTCCTCCTTACCTCCCACATCTTCATCTCCTTCGCATTCGCAAGCTCCTTTCGAAGTTTTCTGATCTTTAGTTCTTCAAGTGTTGTATTAACAGAAAGTGTCTGAAGGGCTTCTAGGTTTACCACACGGCCAAACTTGCTGATCATGAGTTGACGCACTGTCTCCTCCATTTCTAAAAGAAGACAGTCACTGGCTCAGGTTGTTCAATGGCTCCCATTGTTATAAATGAACACCAGGAACGGTCAAGTTCTAAGGAACTGCTTTTGCAAGACGCTGAAAGATTTGATGTCATCAGTGATTTTTCTTCTGTGACTTTTTGCCTGCTGCTTTCCTCATTTAAAATGCCAGTTTTAAAATGTCTTTTCACCTTCCGAATCCTGTGTGAAACTGACTCACTGTTCCCAACTGGCTTACATACTGATCCACCCCTCCTCAGACTGCTAACGGGCACCAACTAGATTACGAGTTTTGCCTTTTTTTCTAATATGGAGCTTTACAGCATCTAGCATTAAGAATAGAGCAGGCACTTCAGAAAAGTCTCCGACTTACTCCAAGTAAATAATGACAGTCCCTTTGGGAATTCAGAAGGCCCTGCATGGCCGGCCTGCCTGCCCTCCTTTCTCTCCCCACTGCTTTCTTATGCCTCTCCTCCTCAGCACCCTACTCTAAACATACTGGCCTCCTCTGTGCTTCTCAGACATGCCAGATTCACCCCAGCCTCAGTTCCTTCAATCTGAACTGCTCTTCCCCAGAGATCCGCATGGCCTGCTCCTCCCAGCCCATTCACTAAAAGCAAGTGGAGACTGGAGCTGTGACTAAGAGCAGGCTCTTACCCTCTAACCAGGGACAGCTGCATATAATCAGACGTGCTGCCTTTCCACGGACCCTTTCCCTGTCTCTCTCGGACCTCAGCACTTTTTTTCTCAATCCATTTTAAATTTTTCTTCTTAGTAATTAACTAGCATGTAATATCTAACATGCAATATATTTTACTTTTGATAGTTCTTTCCCCAGTGTGAAAACACTAGAACACCTCTCCAAGAAAACAATCTTATGACGGGACTTTCTCAGTGACCATACTGTCCCCTAAGTGAAGTTTGAAGACCCTAATATGTAGCAAGATGATTCAATTCTTTTACAGTGCAGAAATTTGTATTTGGGCATAACTGTTACGATTTACGTTTGAATTAGAATAGCATAATTGGCATGGCTGCCATTGTACACAATCCAGGAGGGGCTATGCACTTTCTGCTGTAGATGAGTGGTGCCCCAGGGACATGCATCATGTGGTGGTGGCTACCGTCATCAGTGAGGCAAATGAAATGACAATGGATGCTGTGCACCTGTGTGCTGGCCTGTGGCTACCTGCCTGACCTCTCTCAGTAAGAACTTTGATTCCCCTCAGGCAGTCCGACCCCCATACAAGGGGTTGCCCTCTCACATGGTAGCCATATACCAGAACGTGTAGTCTGGTCCTTGCCAGCTCCATTGTGGAGCCAGCCTAATGTCTTTCTCCTGAGCTGACAAGGCCAACTAGTGCTCACTGGGGACATAAAGTCTTCTGGAACACTCACCACCCACCTTCTCCATGGCCATGAGCTGTGCTCCCCCTAAAATGGAGAGAACTTACTCCTTCTCACCCCCATGTTCTAGGCTCTCCTATTCTTCTCCATTGGATCTAGGCATAGAGAAAGGCAACAAGCCAACTGCAGTGCAGTGTTATTCATCACTTCTAAGCCGTACGGTCCAGCCACATATCCCACTTCTGGGCACATATCCAAAAGAAATGGAAGTAGAGACATACACAGATATTTGTACATTCATGTTCATCACAGTACAATTCACAATAGCCAAAAAGTAGGAGGCAATCCAATTGCCCATTGACAAATAAATGGGTGAACAAAATGTGGCATGTACGTATAATGGAATATTATTTGCCTTAAAAAGGAAGAAAATTGTGACACATGCTACAATATGGAGGAACCTGAAAGCCATTATGCTAAAGGAAATAAGCCAGTCACAAAAAGACAAATACTGTATTATTCTCCTCACTACAGAGAACTTCAAGTAGTCAAGTTCGTAGAGACAGGAAGTAGAGTGGCAATTTCCTGGAGCTGAGGGAGACAAAATTGGGAGTTAGTCTTTAGTGGAGTTTGGGAAGATGAAAATGCTCTGGAGGTGGATGCTGGTGATAGCTGCACAATCATATGAATGTACTTAGTGCCACTGGACTGTCCACTTACAAACAGTTGAAATAGTAAATTTTAACATACCTTGCACTGCAATTTAAAAAATAGACTTAGAAATTATTAACCCTAAAATAAAAGATTGATAAATTAAAATCACAGTTATTGTTCATCAAAAGCCACCATAAAACAATCAACAAAGTAAAAAGATGACCCACAGAATGGGAGAAAATATTTGCAAACTATTCATCTGACAAGGGGTTAGTAACCAGAATATATAAGGAGCCCAAACAACTCTATAGGAAAATATCCACTAATCCAGTTTTTAAATGGGCAAAAGATCTGAAGAGACATTTCTCAAAAGAAGACATACTGGCAAACAGGCGTATGAAAAGGTGCTCAACAGCACTGGTCATCAGAGAAATGCAAATCAAAACTACAAAGGGATATCATCTTACCCCTGTTAAAACGGCTTTTACCCAAAAAACAGGCAGTAACAAATGCTGGTGAGGATGCAGAGAAATTGAAACTGTCATACACTGTTAGTGGGAATGTAAATTAGTACAGCCACTTGGAGAGCAGTTTGCAGATTCTTCAAAAAATTAAAAACAGAGCTACCATATAGTGCAGCAATCCCACTGCTAGATAATTACCCAAAAGAAAGGGAATCAGTATATTGAAGAGATACCTACACTCCCATATTTATTGCAGCAGTATTCACAATAGCTAAGATTTAGAAGCAAATTAACTGTCCATTAACAATGGATAAAGATAGATAAAGAAAATGTGGTACCTGTAGACAATGGGGTACTATTCAGCCATTAAAAAATAAGATCCATCTGGGCACAGTGACTCATACCTGTAATCCTAAAGCCTCTGAGTCTGAGGCAGGTGGACTGCTTGAGCCCAGCCTGGGCAAAATAGCAAGATTCCATACATGCAAAAAATATTAGCCAGGTGTCGGGGTGTACACCTGTACTCCTAGCTACCCAGGAGGCTGAAGCAGAAGGATCACCTGAGCCCAGGAGGTCAAGGCTATAGTGAGCCCTGATTGTGTTACTGCACTCCAGCCTGGGAGACAGAGTGAGACCCTGTCTCAAAGAGTGAGAGATCTTGTCATTTGCAATAAAATGTATGGAACTGAAGTCATTACATGAAGTGAAATGAGCCAGGCACATAAAGACAAACTTTGCATGCTCTCACTCAGTTGTAGGAGCTAAAAATTAAAACAACTGAACTGATGGAGATAGAGACTAGATAGTTACTAGCATCTGGGAAGGATGGTGAGGTGGGGGATGTGGGAATGGTTAATGGGTACAAAAATAGAATGAATAAGACCTGGTATTTGATAGCCCAACAGGGTTACTATAGTCAGTAATAACTTAATTGCACATTTAAAAATAACTAAAAGAGTATAATTGTATTGTTTGCAACACAAAAGATAAATGCTTAAGGTGATGATACCCCATTTACCCTGATGTAATTATTAGACAACGTATCTCTGTATCAAAATACCCCATGTATCTCATAAATATACATCCCAACTATGTACCCACAAAAAAAAAGAATTTAAAACAAAATTTTAATTACCTTTAAAAAGCCTCAGCTGGGTGTGGTGGCTCATGCCTGTAATCCCAACACTTTGGGAGGCCAAAGGGTGTGGATCACCTAAGATCGGGCGTTCAAGACTAGCCTGACCAGCATGAAGAAACTCCATCACTACTAAAAATACAAAAAATTAGCCGGGCGTGGTGATGCATGCCTGTAATCCCAGCTACTTGGGAGGCTGAGGCAGGATAATGGCTTAAACCTGGAAGGTGAAGGTTGATGTGAGCCAAGATCACACCATTGCACTCCAGCCTGGGTAACAAGAGTGAAACTCAGTCTCAAAAAAAAAAAAAAAAAAAAAAAAAAAGCCTCCATAAAAATGAAAACAAAAAAACAAAGGCAGATATTTGGAAAACATATAAGCAACAAAGAATTAGTATACAAAATTAATTTCTACATATCAACTTTTAAAAGGCAAACAAATCAAGAGAAAAATGAACAAAATACATGAACAGACATTTTATAGAATGGGAAACACTAAAGGCCCAAAGACATACAAAATGTGCTTAACCTTATTAGTGGTGAGGAAAATGCAATTAAGACCATGAGTTACCACTTTATACTTTCCAGTTTTGCGAAAATTTGAAGTCTAATAAGATTATTTACTTTCAATGATGTATGTAGCTCAAAGGGGACTCTTAAGTACCACTGTTTGGAGTGTAATTGGTATAATCATTCTGGAAGACAAGTTAACATTGTTTAAACCCTTATATGCCTTATGACCCAGCTGTTCTACTTTTAGGTATGAAACCCTTATACTTTTAGAAATGCCTGTAAACATATACCATGTACAGGAATTTTCATAGGAGAATTGTCAAAGCAAAAAAATATAAAACAATTTAAATCTCCACTGTCAGCAGAAAAACAAGTAATTTTGGTAGAATCATGTATTTGACAACAATGAAAACAAACAACAGCTGTATGCTATACCACACCTAATCTTATGAATATAATATTAAATCAAAGAGTATGTTTCAAATGGCTACATCTGGTATAATATTTCTACCAAGTCCTAACACAATATACTATTTAGAAATACATATAAATATGTTATAACTTTTTTTAATGAAAGGGAAGGCTAAACATAAAATTGGGAATAGTAGTTGTCTCTGAATATGGGGAGACAGAGAATAAGACAGAAAGAATGCACACAGGCAGATGTTACAGGGTTGCTAATATAGTTAATAAGTTGGGTGGTGGGTTCCCAGGATTCATTCTGTTGCAATAATCCACCACTTATACGTATGTTCCACATATCAGATATTACGAAAGTGTTTTAAAAGACAATTATCTTTATACTATACATCTTATACTATATACTTTACAACACAGAAGTGTTTTAAAAGATAATTATCTTTACACTACACAACTTATACTATATACTTCAATTTTAAGTGGGTTAAAAACCCAAATGTGAAGGGCACTACTAATTAGGAAACTACTGAAAACGATCTTTTAAAATTGACAAAAGTTGTATATATGTACCATGTACAACATGCTGTTTTGAAATACACATACACTATGGAATGGCATTGAGCTAATCAACTTACACATTACCTCACATACTTTCTTTTCCTTGTTGTGAGAACCCTTAAAATTTACTCTTAGCAATTTTCAAGAATATAATACATTGTTATTAACTATAGTCATCATACTGTACAATAGATCTCTTGAAATTGTTCTTTGAATCTCACTGAAATTTTGTATCCTGTGGCCAACATCTCCGCAAACTGTACCCTGACCCACAACCACAGACCCTGGTAACCATCATTGTATTCTGTTTCTATGAGTTTAACTTTTTTATACTCTGCTTATAAGTGATGTCAGGTGGCATTTTCTTCCTGTGCCTCTTATTTCACTTACCATATTGTCCTCCAAGTTTATCCATGCTGTTGCACATAATAGGATTTCCATCTTTAACGCTGAATAGTATTTCATTGTGTACATATAGCACATTTTCTTAGCTGTGCATCTATTCATGGACACTTAGGTTGATTCTGTATCTTGGCAATTGCAAACAGCACTGCAGTGAACATGGGAATGCAGATATCTCTTCTGCATGCTGATTACTAATTTCAGTTTCTTTGGATATATACCCACGAGTGGAATTGCTACACCAAAAAATATCTTTAGGACCTCAAAATAGGAAAGGATTTCTTAAGCAAGACACACACATACACATAGTGCATAAACCATAATTAAGTAGATTGATAAAAAATTACTATATTAAGATTTAAAACATCTGTAACCAAAAGATTCACGAGATAAAGTTAAAAAAAAAAAAAAAAAAAGAAAAAAAAAGATGGCTGGGCACAGTGGCTCACTCCTGTAATCCCAGCACTTTGGAAGGCCAAGGCGGGCAGATCATCAGAGGTCAGGAGTTTGAGACCAGCCTGGCCAACATGGAGAAACCCTATCTCTACTAAAAAATACAAAAATTAGCTAGGCATGGTGGCATGTGCCTATAATTGTAGCTACTCGGGAGGCTGAGGCAGAAGAATTGCTTGACCCAAGGAGGTAGAGGTTTCAGTGAACCGAGATCGTACCACTGCACTCCAGCCTAGGTAACAGAGTAAGACTCCATCTCCAAAAAAAAAAAAAAAAAAAAGACAAGCTACAAACCAGAAGAGATTTGCAGTGCATTTAATGGACAAGACTATATTAAGAACTCCCTAAAATCAATTTAAAAACAAAAAATAGGAACTGAAAATGGGCAAAAGATAGGACAGGCAAGTTACAGAAAATAAATAGCAAATAAATGTATATAAAGATGTTTAATTTCACCAGCAATCAAAAAAATGTAAATAAAAACCACAGTGAAATATATTAACATCTTGCAGGCTGGCAAAAATATTAACGTCTGATAGTATCAAGTGTTGCGGACAATACGGAGCCTGAGCAATTCTCACATACTGCCAGGGGGAGGAGAAATTTGTTCAACCCCTTTGGGGGCAACTTGGCAATATCCAGGAGAGCTGAAAATGTCCATATCCCTCTGCAACCCAGAGATCCAGTACTAGGATTCACCTTCTTACACATGCGCACAGGGAGATTTGTACAAGTAGGTTTACTGTAACATTGTCTATAAATATGAAAAATAAGAAATATCCTAAATATCCATCAATAGGAGGTTAAAGAAATAAAGTCTTTAGTATTCATACAATGGAATAGTGTAGCAGTAAAATGAATAAACTATCTGTAGCTTACAAATAAGTCAAAATTTCATTAAATAAAGTAACCACAAAATGATATAACTATCATCACAGTTAAAAACAATGCAGGGTATGTCTCTATATTGTGTGTGGACACATCCATATATATGTGTGCATACCTGGAGTGAAACCTGAAGAAGGAGCAGCAGAATCGCATTAGAAAGAGGTGGGGCTTCGACTGTATCTCAATGTATTCTTTCTTAAGCTGGGTAGTGGGTACTTGGTTATTACTGTATTATTCTATATTTCAGTCATACACAAAGAGAAGATGATTCTATGATAAAAGATTTCTCCCTTTAAAATAGGACATGAATTTTTCACGGTAACAGGAGAAATAGTGAGCAGGAAGATGTAAAGCTGTTCTTATTTCCCTTCTCAGTGGTTCTGAGTCTGCAATTACTGTTTTCACAATTGGAGACAGTCGCCTGGAAAAGCCCCTTTCTTACCAATAAGCCTTGCTAGCAAGGTGGTGGGCTTAGATACTCACTCTGTATGGCTTTTGTCATTTCTTTCTTTTCTCGGATGAGCTGTTTGCGTCTCTCTCTCCATTCTTTGTTAAGTTTTTGCTGCTTGGCATTTTCCTCCTGGAGCTCATGGATTCGTTCTTGCAGCCGTCTCAAGGCATGGTTAGAGAAGACCAAAGTCCCAGAAAGATCACTAGGTATTTCTCCAAATACCACATACTCTATCTACAAGCAGAACACAAGTCAAAAGAAAAAAGAAAACAAAGACACAGATTTCGTATGGCAACAGAAAGCATAGGAGGTGCACTTCTTTCTCTGCCCCTTGTTTAGCTCATCTTTGGGCTCCTCCATCTTCCTCACCGAGTGACAGTGGCCAGGCAGACACAGAGAGATGTTGTCAGAGAGAAAGCCACGTCACATCTCTGTGGGGAGAGCAAGTCCTCCCACACAGATCATGCCTATTATCTACTGTATAACAACCTGACAAACATTTCAAGGCTGGCGTACTATGCTACACATAGCTCATCCAGTTTGGGTCAGGTTATAGAAAACATACATAAAGCTGATCTTGTTGTTTTCCTAAAATACAGCTTTTTCTTTTAACCTGACAAAAGGTAATACAATGAGCCTTTTCTCTCAGTGATATGTATTTCCGCAATTTAATGTAAGTTGCAATTCAAGTAGAAATGAATAAGAAAAGTAAAAAAGAAAAAATATTTCCTTTTTGTCTTGACCTCCCTCACCAATGAGTAGAGACTAAGCAAAGGTCATTTTAGCATCATTAGTCCATGCGCAGGGAAAGACAGTGTGAAAAGTGACATTGGTGTAAGAGCCATGGTTTCACCTCTGAGCCATTCCATTCTTAAATCATAGGCTCTTCATTTCTCTAGACTTGAAATGACTGATTTCCAAAATGCTAATGAGCCAGAGGGAAACAGGCATGTTTTGATGTTAGTCTTTTATAACAATCTGACAGTGGATAAGACAATTTAGTGTCATCTTTCAGGTAGAATTCTCAGCAAAGAACCACGATTCTCCCCGTTAGTGAACCATGAATCTTTCTCTGAAAAGTTTGGGTGTGATGACTCTTCTCAGACAAGAGTGGAGCAACTCTCTAGATGCATCACCTGGTGGAGCTTGAGCGGAATCACAACCAGCAGTTCATTCAGCCGCTGCTGCTTCTCTCGCTGATAAGCCTCCAGGGCTTCCTCTGCTGCATTCAGATTAGCTGCCACAATTTTCACCTGTAGAAAGCCCAGTGTTGTGAAATGGTGACAAGACTCAGTGAACATACACCTAAAGGTGGTGAATGACGGCATCTTGGGAGGAAATAAAGCATCAGCAGAATCTGCTTTGTTGGGCTGTGATTAAGTGCACGAACCCAGTTTGCAACTCAGGAATGCATATTATTTTCTTTCTGCCAAGTTATAATCCACGTCACTCTTTCAATCATTTCTATGACTCCAGAGTTATAATGTTTTGTGAATAAAAGCCTAGAAGACATGTCTTCATGTCCCCTCTATCTTCTGCATGAAAAGCAGCCCTCAGCATGGAATGTCTTTGACAGAATGGTGGGAATCTTTTTTGATCATAATGACTTCGACAAACTGAAGTTTCATTGCTTTAAAGCAATGAAACTGCTAACTACAGTATTTCTAAAGCACATTCTTCATGTCCTAGATAACCTAAAAGTTTTCCAAATCATTTCCTATTTGCAAGAGGAGAAATAATACATCAAAAATATTTCTGAACATGAATCAAGTTAAATGATGTCACTCTACAGAAGAGTACCTAAGAGGGAAAGTAGGCAGATTAAGGCAGAAATTGATCAATATTATGCCAGAAGTTTAGCTTGGTAATCTCCAATATGGGATGCATGTACCCCAGAGAATCAACAAAATAATCTATTGGGGTATAAACTGAAAATGTCAGTTTCTATTTCTACTTATTTTTATCTTGTTCTATTTAATTTCTGTTTTTAGGATGTTTCATACTGAACAAAATATATAACAGTTCATAAATACAATTTATAAATACATGGACATTTATTATATGGGGAGGGGCTTCATTTTCTTTTTTTTTACTGATAGAGTAATGTCATTAGAAAAGTCTGGAGACCCATGACTGAGATAAAGTAACTCCAATTATCCAAAGAGCAATGTCCCCCACCACCCTCTCACCAGGGAGAAACAAACCTGGCCTTAACATTTGAAATGCTTTTTTCTGAGAAGTCCTAACATTGTCATTGCTATGAAATGGCAATATTACAGCAAAGAGAATGTATAGCATTTTGAGAGGATAAATAAGCCTACTTTTTTTGACAATGTCTCATATTCCTTTTTGAGGTTATCAACAATTTTCTTTTCTTCAACTAAAGCCTCCTCAATGTCCAGCCTTTTCTCTCGAAGTTGAAGGGCCAGCTCAAAAAGGGTCACATCACAATCTGCCAAGAGAATTAAAATAAAAACCAGCCTCGTCTGTTATGGAATGTGGTAGTACTAGAACTGTGAACTTCAGAGATTCAGAATCAATAATGTCTATTTATGGATGCACTGTAGCAAGCTTTTAAGACACTTATGGCTTAATTGTTCCAGGTTGAAATTATTAATAGCCATAATAATAATAATGGTATTGATATTCTGAGCAGTACTCGGAAGCAGGCTTTGTGCTAAGCCCTTTATGTACATTATCTCACTCAACGTCTCATGGACCCCACAAGGCAGAAACTACTGTTCCCATATATAAGTGAAGACCTTAAGTCTCAGAGAGGTGACATAACTGGTGTGTAACAGAATGGGATTCAAGTACGTTATCTCTCTATTATTTCTACAGTATCACACTAAGAGCCACATTTATCCACCAAGTAATAGAGAATATAGAAACAAAATACTAAAATAGAATTCAGGAAGCTTAGGTCCAGCCCTCATGGTACACCATACTGTGAGTCATTGCTCAAGCCATTATCCTGCATAAAATGAGCTGCATTAGAAGGTTTGTGTGCTCTATTTCACTCATAAATATTATGATTTTTAAGACCATCATATTCAAACGTAAAGATACAAACTTTATCTGAAATTAAACTTTTAAAATTTAATTAAAACTTTATTTGAAATGTCTAGAAAAACAAATTATAGATCCCAAAACTTGTTTTTTCTCTACTTGAACCATTCACCTATTGAGACTGTAAGAAATTGGTCTGGCAGCTCCTGACTGGTCTCACCAGTGAAAAGGGTGAATATGAACCGCCAACCCTTTCCAGGAAACTAGGCAAAATGCCCTTACAAAGATTCAGATCACACAAAAATCTGAATAGATTTGTCAAATAAGGAGATTATTGTAAAATAAATATGCAAATTAGTCTGGCATTTCTCTATAAAATTAAACTTGCTATATAATTTATAACTCTGAATCAACTGTCAATTGTCTGCCTATTATTTGTCACTCATAAATGGCTGCCTAAGAGAACAGATAATAAATCATCCAGAGGGCCACCAAAAGTATTGGTTAACACTTTCCCTGACCATGCTATTGGAAATAGCAATGTTCCTCTCCATGCTCACTCCTGCATGCCCTTCATTTCTTTTCCCATAGTATGTACTACTTTCTAAGATTCTGTTTGTCTTTCTCCACTAAACTATAAGCTCCATGAGGATGGAGAAGTTTATTTTAAACTTTGATGTATCCCTAGCATCAGATAAATGCCTGGCACATAGAAGTTAAATATTTTTGAATAAATATCCTTATTCTTTTAAAAAAGGCACTCATTAGACTCTATTTCATACATTTTAAATCATCCTTTCTTTGAATTACCAGAGAACAGACAAACAAAAAAATGGCCTTCTCAGTATTGTCAATCAATAGTGACACTTCACAGAGAATACAAGACTTTATCTAACTTACTTGATGGGCAAATAGAATCATCAAAAACCTCATCTTCAGATCCAGACTCATCCTCATCACTCTCCAAGCTAGATTCTTCTTCACTTGATTCCTCACTTTCCTCATCTTCATCTAAGGAAAGATGAGGACATTGTTAACAAGAAAGCTTCCATATTAAACTAAATACTAGATTTTTAAAGTAAACTATTTTTCAATGACTCAGTCACTAGCAAAATAACTTGATCAATGTAAGAGTTTTAAATGGTTAAAGACACGAAGAACACAAACCCAAATGCCTGCAGAAGGTTGTGCAGTTACTATAAATGGAAGTCAGAGGGGCCTGAGATCAGGTTGCCAAGCTGCAGATGTTGTAGTCCACCTAACACACAGTTAGTGAAATAGACTCACAATTCCTAACTCATAGATCTCTAAAATCAGAAGTGATTCCTTCCTTCCTTCCCTCCTTTCCTCCTTCCCCTTCTTTCCCTTTTTCTCTTTCTTCCCATCCTCCCTCCCTCCCTTTTTCTTCCCTCTTTCCTTCCCTCCTTCCTCCCTCCCTCCTTCCTCCCCCTCCCCTCTCCCCTTTCCTCCTTCCTTCCTTCATTCCTTCATTCCTGGATCTGGCTTTGTTGCCCAGACTGTAGTGCAGTGGCACAATCTCAGCTCACTGCAACCTTTGCCTCCTGGGCTCAAGCAATCCTCCCACATCATCATGTCCAGCTAATATATGTATTATTATTCTTATTTTTGTAGAGACAGGGTTTCGCCATGTTGGCCAGGCTGGTCCCAAAATCCCGGGCTCAAGAGATCCACATACCTGGGCCCCCCAAAGTGCTGGGATTACAGGCATGAGCCACTGGGCCTGACCCTGAAAAGATTTTCATAAGTTTTATGAGCTGAAATCATGCTATTTATAGTCTTTATTTAACTTGGTATGAATATTCATGTTTTGCTGCAGAAGTACTGAGATGTTTGATCTTGGGATTCTGTACCACAACTTGCTAGTGGTATCATGTTGACAAAGACTCTGTCCTTTAACCTAACTCGAGTCAGGCTTCTCTGAGTCCTTTTTCCGACTACAGTAGTTCCTGATCTTGAGTTGTGTCCTGAACCTATTTAGTCTGATTGCAGCAAGAATCCTCCAAGTTAATTTGGAAAAAAAATTCCCCACTTTTGATAATCTGGTCAAATTCCTCATCACTCTGCCCTTATCACCTGGCTTGCCCTCAGCAAATGTCCTCCTAAAACAGTCTACTACATAATTACCCTACTTCTCAGAAATTTTCTGTCCACTGATCTCCACCCTCTGTTCCTTGGCTATAAATCTCCACATGGCCTTGTTGTATCCAGAGTTCACCCCCATCTCTCTTCCCTGTTACAAAAACCCCATACGGTAGTCCCCCTGAATAAAGTCGGCCTTATTGTTTTTATTAAACGTCAGGAGTGATTTATATCATATCATATATAATAGCTTCAGAAATATTTCTGAACACTAAAATACATCTGTCCCCAAGGGTTTTGGATAAGGGATTGCAGACCTTTCCACTCCAACCTGCCCCATTTTCTTTTAAAACACCTTGAGGCCATCTATGACCTACAGATCACCAATTTACAATTAATGCAGCTAAACATTATGTGCAAAACAAACATAAGACGACTCTGAAAAAATGGAGAGAAGAAAATAGAGCAACTACACGCCTTAGAACCTGAGGAACAACACTGTGGCGAGTTCCTTGGATATTCTTTCAGCCTCATCTATCCCAGACTCAGAGATGAATAAGTTGGCAGCCTAGAAACACCAACAGATCTATAGATATAGAAAGTCCCAACGAAAGCTTGCTTTCTCTAGCCCAGGAATGGTGTAGCATAGCAAGACAGAAAACTTTTAGACAATAACTATTCTATTCCAACCAAACACCATGGAAAAAACTCAGGTGCAATCCCCAACCAAATCAGCAAAGGTGAAGTGGGGAGGCTAGACGTTTCACCCTCACAGGGCTGTAATTAGGTGTCCCAACGCTCCCCCCGGATGATGTTAGAGAAGGTCAAGAAGGAAGCCAGGACACTTATTCACGCTGGCTGGTAACCAGCCTCGCCCCCACCCTCACCACCAAGATGCCTGTGGAGGCCACATGATAGCCTGACTTCCACTCCCAAGGGCATTAACAAGGTACTCTTCCCCCTCCCCTCAGGGGTGGTATCAGAAGAATACTAACAGAGTCAGGACTGTCATCATTATCCATAAGTACTCGCCATCCCCGCCAGGTTGATCATAGAAACCACACGGGGAGCTGGAACTCCCACCCATGCACAGCAGTAACAAAGAGGTCCCCCCTTTCTTGGGTGACCCTTTCCTTGTCAGAGAAGTGTTTGAGAATTTCAAGTAAAACAGACGATTTAAATAAGATACAAAGTCTCATAATATAAAATGAAAGTTTTTAGGATTCAATTAAAAGTTACTCATACCAAAAGCCTGGAAGATATCTGATATGGTTTGGATCTGTGTCCCCATCAAATCTCATGTTGAATTGTAATCCCCAGTGTTGGAGGAGGGGCCTGGTGGGAGGTTACTGGACCATCAGGGAGGAGGTTTAGCACCATCCCCTCAGTGATGTTCTCATGATAGTGAGTGAGTCATCATGATAGCTGGTTGTTTTAAAAGTGTGGTACATAGTGCCTTCTCCCTCACTCTCTCGGTCCTGGCTCCTGCCACATAAGACGCCTGCTCCTGCTTTGCCTTCTGCCATGAGTAAAAGCTCCCAAAGGCCTCCCCAGAAACAGGTACTGCCATGCGTCCTTGACAGCCTGTGGAACCATGAGCCAATTAAACCTCTTTTCTTATAACTTACCCAATATCAGGTATTTTTTACAGCAATGCAAGAATAGACTAATGCAATCTCCGACTGAGTGGAAAAAGAAAACCAATAGTTGTCAAGACTAAGATGACAGAGACATTAGAATTATCTGATAAAGTATTTTAAACAGCCATGATAAAAATGCTTCCATGAGCCAAATTTGAACATACTTGAAGGACATGGAAAAAATGCAAAGCCTCAGCAAAGAAACAGAACCAAGTAAAAATTTAAAAACTGAGTATCACAATAACCAAGTGGTATGGTTTGGCTCTGTGTCCCCGTCCAAATCTCATCTTGAGTTATACTCCCATAATGCCCATGTTTGTGGGAGGGATAAACTGGGAGATAATTTGAATCATGGGGGCAGTTCCCTGCATACTGCTGTCGTGGTAGTAAGTCTCATGAGATCTGATGGTTTTATCAGGGTTTTCGCTTTTGCATCTTTCTCATTTTCTCTTGCCACTGCCATGTAAGAAGTGCCTTTTACTTCCTGCCACGATTCTGAGGCCTCCCCAGCCACCTGCAAGTATAAGTCCAATTAAACCTCTTTTTCTTCCCAGACTTTGGTATGTCTTTATTAGCAGCATTAAAACGGACTAATACAGTAAACTGGTACCAGTAGAATGGGGAGCTGCTGAAAAGATACCTGAAAATGTGGAAGCAACTTTGGAACTGGGTAACAGGCAGAGGCTGGAACAGTTTGGAGGGCTCAGAAGAAGATAGGAAAATGTGAGAAAGTTTGGGATTTCCTAGAGACTTATTGAATGGGTTTGACCAAAAGCCTGACAGTGATATGGACAATAAGGTCCAGGCTGAGGTGGTCTCAGATGCAGATGAGAAACTCGTTGGGAACTGGAGCAAAGATGACTCCTGTTTCAGCAAAGAGACCGGTGGTATTTTTGCCCCTGTCCTAGAGATTTGTGGAACTTTGAACTTGAGACAGATGACTTAGAGTATCTGGTGGAAGAAATTTCTAAGCAGCAAAGCATTCAAGAAGTTAGTGGGTACTGTTAAAGGCCTTCAGTTTTAAAGGGAGACAGAACATAAAAGCTTGGAAAATTTACAGCCAGGAGAGAGTAGGGCCAGCTTTCCAGTGGGACTGGGACACATCCTCTCTGCAAGTCACTCCCAGGGCCCATGCCTTGCCACCCTGCAGGAGCAGGTCCACAGCACAGCCCCTGAAGCCCAGCCTGAGTGCATTGCTGCACCTGAGTAGTTTCCTGGTAACTACAGAGCAAATCAGATTTCCAGGGCTGTGGATCACTGCTAAAGAGTCTCAAGAGTATGGAGCCAGCACTTGAGTTGGGGAGGAGCCCTCACTCTCAGAGTGAGGTGAGACGGGTGAGACGCATGGATTCCTGGGCTGGAGTCACAGTGGGGCTTTCCTCCCTTTGCAGGGCCAGTCCAGAAAGAATGTGGCATATCTCCCTGCTACAGTCTTTGTGCAAGGGGGCCCCATGGCCTGGAACACCCAACAACAACAACAAAACACAGGTACAGTGCCAGTAATTGGAGTGGGCTCCTCCAAGGCCCAGGAATGGACCTGGTAAGTGGGCCATCTCTCCCACTCCTTCACCCCTACTTCAGAGCACACCTGCAAACACAAAGAAGTACTAAAGAGCTGTGCTGCTGGGTATTAACGCAGCTACTGGCCACTACTCTTAAGTGTCATCTACTGGACTGTGGCCCAAACTACAACACCAAAAATTATCCTGCTAATATACATACCTGTGAAACCAAGCACAATTCACCACACACAAAGATCCTATACAGAGCCCTTGCCCTTGAAAACATCCATAAATGAAGCCAACTGACTGTAATTAACTTACACCACAGTTCAAAAAACAGCAGCTCTCCCAGATGAGAATCAGCATAAGAACTCTGGCAATTCAAAAAGACAGATGTTCGTTCCCCTTTCCTCCAAAGAAGTCTACGAGCTCCCCAGAAAAAGTTCTTAACAGTCTAAAATGACTGACATGACAAACAAAGTTCAGAATCTGGATGGCTGGGAATCTCACTGAGATTCAGGAGATAGTTGAAACCCAATCCAAAGAATTCAGTAAAATGATCCAAGAGCTGAAAGATGAAATAAGAAAGAAGAAAAACAAACTTTTTAAAGTTATTAAACCAAACCATTTTAAGAAAGAAGAAATCCAAACTTCTAGGGCTAAAAAACTCACTACAAGAATTTCATAATACAACTGGAATATTAACAGCAGACTAGACTAAGATGAGGAAAGAATCTCAGAGCTCAAAAACTGCTTCTTTGAATCAACT